ACCAGACAACAGGCTTGCCGGTTGTCTGGTTGCCACCGTCACTCATAGATGGCGGCAACCTTTCCAGCCTTTCCACTCTGGTTTTCACCAGAGAGGAAAGGCTGAATTTCTCTAGGCGTCGTCCTAAAAGTCGTCCTCGAGGTTGTCCTAAAAGTTGTCTCTGGGGTAGGGTTGTGCGAATATTCGCAATTTCGAATAGTGGTTTCGAATAATACACTATTCAACATTCGCTTCGAGAAGAACTGCACTATTCGTGTTTTTCGAAGTGCTGATTGCGTCGGGTTAGCCCTGTTGAGTGCGCTTCTTAGCGAGCACCGGAGTACTGCGGAGAGGCAAAACCCGCAAAAGCGAGCTCCGTGGGTGATGCTTCTCTACACTACATTACATCGGTGCACGGTAAGAAGCACACTCAACGGGGTAACCTGCCGCGATGAACACTTGGAAAAGTATGAATATCCCCATTGCGTGCTTGAAAGAAAAGCATACATTAAAAGCGGGATGGTGCACGCGTGCCGTCTGCATTTGAAAATAAATGGAAACTTTGTGAGTGTGTAGTTTTTACGTTGTAGTAAAAGTTTCAAAATTAAACTTACCGTTATGCAAGAGTATACTATGTTGGGCAGAGATGCCCTTACAGCTTGTATTCATCACGCGCGATTCATTCTTTCTTAACTCGAGATTAAAGAAAGAATATTTTATATAGCAAGATTTGTAAATTCACTCCATTGGGTATGGTTGGCCATCTCTATAGGATTCATTTTATGTCAAATTTGTCGTTTACTTGCCATCCCAAGACATCAGACCTTCTTAGTTCACAGTTCATAAATATAGATAGATTAAACTCAGCTTGTAAATAAACAAGTGGAACAACCTTCACAAGTTTAGCTGGGTTTTCATCTAAGCTTTACGCAGCGGTAATGAAAGGTGTGGAAAAACTATTCGATATTCGATTAGAAAATATTCGGCCAAAACCACTATTCGCTTCGAATTCGCTTCGAACTCAAAATCTACTATTCGCACAAGACTACTCTGGGGTCATCCTAGACGTCGTCGTTGAGGTCGTCCTAGAAGTCATCCTGGAGGTCTTTCTTAGACGTCGTCCTAGAAGTCATCCTTGAGGTTGTCCTAAACGTTGTCCTCAAGGTTGTCCTGGAAGCTATCCTTGAGGTCGTCCTAGATGTCGTCCTTGAGGTCATCCTAGAAGTCATCTTTGAGGTCTTTCTTAGATGTCGTCCTAGAAGTTGTTTTAGGAATCGTGCTCTAGGCGTCATCCTCGAGGTCGTCCTAGAAGTCATTCTTGAGGTCGTCCTTGAGGTCGTCTAAGAAGTCGTCCTTGAGGTCGTCTAAGAAGTCGTCCTTGAGGTCGTCCCACCATAGTACAGCTTCGCTGGTCTTCCCTCTTCACCAGAGTGAAAAGGCTGAAAGTTCTTTTTATATACAGAGATAATGAGACATATAACAAATAATAATATACTAATCAAAGAACAACACGGGTTTCGGAAAGGTCTATCTTGCACAACACAACTATGGTAGTTGAGTTTTATCATGAATTGGCATCTGATGTTGATGAAGGAGGACAAATAAATTGTGTTCTTTTAGACTTTCATAATGCATTCTACATCGTGTCACATCCAATCCTTCTCATAAACTCAAAACGTTAAATATAAACGCGGGTGTGCTCAAATGGATTGAAAATTATTTGTCTCAGAGTCGTCAATGTGTTGTTTTAGACGGTAAAAGCTCGGCATACGTTATGTCTCGGCATACGCACATGTCTCATCAGGAGTCCTACAGGGATGTCCTACGACCACTACTGTTTTTGCTTTATGTAAATGATATTTCTATGGGTATTTGTTTGTGCACACGGTTGTTTGCCGAGGATTGTGTTATGTATAAAAAAATTAAGAATGAACAAGATGCTGTCATGCTGCAATTAGATTTAGAATGTATTACCACTTGGTGTTCCCCGTGGAAGATGAATTTAAATCCAAAAAAGTGTGTTCACATATGTTTTACTAAAAAAGAAAAGGATTGTAAGTCTCTACCAGATAAACGACACTTTAATAAATAATGAACCTACATGTAAGTACCTAGGTGTCACATTATCATCCGACTGCTCATGAAATGCTCCCATTGATGATGCTATTGCAAAAGCTGGAAGGGCACCTAATTTTATTCAGCAGCATTTGATGTGTCCACAGTCAAAATTTCAAAAAAAGCAAACGCTTACTTAACATGTGCGAGACGAATTTTAAAATACGCCTGCGCCGTCAGGGACCCCGCGCAAACATACTTCATTGATAAACTGGAAAAAGTACAATACCGAGCAGTTAGGGTTGTCCTGGGTCGGTATGGGCGGAGAGAGTTGCACAGATATGAAACACAAATTAAATTGGGAACTACTTTCATCTTGGCGGAAAAAGTTGACAAGTTTTTATTTCAAATAATTAATAATAAGACCGGAGTTAACAGTGAAACCTATTTTAAACAACCACATTATATTTCTAGGTGCAAAGATCACACTTTTAAAATCCGTAAGTACTGAGCCAGAACAAACTTGTTTGCAAATCCTTTTTTTTTTTTTCAAAACTATTGTGCAGTCAAATCAGACAAAAAAAACATTTAGGTGCGAGTATGTTTATACAGCCTGAACTTAGTCTGCCTCAACGAGCGACTTGACTTCCAGCTGTAGATGAGTAATGTCGCCAGTGCAGTACAACCGCTAGCCTGGGGTCTTTAACATGCACCACGCAGTAGTGATACACGACCGCACGCCGGTACTTGAATCAGCTCTGTGAAGAGCAAGTGTGCTGTATGAGTAAAGATTAAGGGTGTGCGAATACTCGAATATACGAATTCAAATCGAATACAAAGTTCCCGAATAATTTGATTCGTGAATCGAATTCCTAGTATTCGGTCACTCGAATATTCAATATATTCGGCCAAAGACGCGCGGTCGGCGCGGAGCTGACAAAAAAAAGCCGTTTTTCTCCCCGATGAAAACGCCGTGATGTTAGACAAACCATACGAAAAACAGCTCTTGGTTCTACCATTCCACAAAAATCTAACGCACAGGTTAGAAAAAAGAAAAGTAACTAACGCCACAAACTTTATAGCACGCAGATTTACTCATTATCGTGATACAACCTACCCTTGAATCACAACCGAAGCATCCCGTTTGCGCCGCTTCCAGAGAGGAATTGTTGGGAGGCCGAAATCCCGCGCCATGCCTAATTCTTTTCACGAGTAAAGCCCCTCGTTTCAAATTAAAGCACCGATGTAAAACACACTTGGCCGCACTCACAGAAATCGGCGACTGCACGATCACAGAAAGAAAACCACGATAAACACGCCGATAAAACCAGCCGAGTTATCGTCGTCGTTCTTTTGGAACCTCAAGCCGCAAATTCTGATTCGGAACGAAACTACAGTACGAAACGGAACCGACGGAACGGGAAAATAGTGTGCCTAGATTTGAGAGGGTCTCCAACCGTTCGATAGCCGCGTTTGAAATGCGAACTGCGAGAAGGTGACGAAAAAACGAAAGCGTCGATCGGGATCGGGCAGGCAGGTCAGGGAGAGCAGGCGTCGTCGCCCTTCTGTTTGCTCGCCTTTTTCCTCGCGACAACACAACACATGCGCACTTACGACCAATCTGCACTGGAGCCATCTCCGTGGTTTCAGTTTCGCTTGCTCCCTCTTTTAAATCAAGGTTCTCTAAAGCAGGATAGATAGACGGAAAAATGGATGCATGGCGGCAGTTGGACGGTGTCTTGCGCCACCTAACCACGCTTTTTTTTTTTTTTTTTCTTCAGATTATATTTTTTAAGTTTATTTACTAAGATTTAACACCTATCTGTTTATTTACGTGAAATGAAAACCCGGGTGCCCTTTTTCTTCCTTAAAATGAAAACCAAATATCGCAAAATGCCCCTTTTCTGAGATATGCAAACATTTTTAAAAAAAAGTCGCGGTGTTAGGTTGGGCTTAAAAAAGGCATGCGGGGCTGTAACTATGGTTTTTTTTGTGACGTTTAGGGAAGATAGATTATATTTGTGCCATAAAATTGGATCTTTAGTGCCCAACATCCAACAGCAGCTGCTTTTATTTTTTTTTTCACCAGAATTGTTTTACATTTTAGCTTTTGTTCTGCACAAGATGCATATTCTGCAACAGGTGCATACTCTGCACATATAATAATCTCATTCGCAGCACACTTTGAAAAATTCCTACAAATAAAAACACTATTCAATATTCAATTCGATATTCGGCTTTTTTTTCTTGATTCGATTCGGTATTCGATTCGAAAACTACCATTCGGTATTCGCACACCCCTAGTAAAGATTTGTCTTTTTCTCTATTGTAACACCCCTATTATAATGCCTTCGGGCAGTGATGGGAAATGTTTGAATAATGAATAAAGAAAACCGCAGATCTGTTGTGTTCGCGACCTGTGGTGTCGGTTCCCACGACATGCAAGTTCACGGTGGGTTCCCGCGTGTCCTTCGCACCGTGAAGAGCGAGTCTGCTACGTCCGCAAGTACTTTTATCGTGACACACGAGCTAGTAGCAAATTCCTGCATTTTTATCGCATAGTAAAACGCGAACTAGCTATGTCCACGATCGGTGGTGTTAGTTCCCGTTTCACGTGGTTTGTAGCATATGCCAGGTGTTTTATCGCTAATTTGTTATAAAGTTTTGCCGCCATATCTTTAAAGATAGCTCACACCATATTTTTCACTATTTACTTCTTCATTTTGGGTGGGCGTCCTTACGGGATTTTACAGTAGTCCAATGGAGGTCTACACAAGGGCACAAGACTAGAACTAAATGCTGTTTGTTAGAAAATTACGCAACCCCTCAAAGCCAACTAATGTTGCTCTCCTTGCAATGAGGAGTCTATAGAGTCGAGTATACCCAATTAAGTCATTGATAGCATAGCGAGAACTGTAGACTACAGTGCAGAGAAAGGTGCACAAGATCGCATGAAGCTGGCTCACCTGGCATTCCTGTACTCCGTCTTTTTGAGCTCCCTCACAACTTGAGCGATCTGCTTATGGGTTCTTGTGCCATAGTAGATAATAGGTACCCTACAAAAATCACAACAGACACCAGCAAAAAATTACCAAAATCGTCTTCCAGTGGTCCAACAAGCCAGAATTGATTGAATTTGGATAGTTGCAGCTTTACCCTTTGTATCAGAGGCAAACAGTCTAAAAGTAAGATCTAGCCAAAGAAATTCAAAAAGCCTAAGCACAATCATTGTGGCACCCTTCCCTCTGCAGTTTTTCCAACCGGTCTCCCTAATGCATGTTTTGCGATTTCCATTGCTACACTGAACAGCTCTTGTTGCCAGCAGCACCTTATATAACATTATAAAAAAAAAATGAAAATTATAAGTGTGCGAACACTGGCGTAAGTCGGGCACATCCAGAAAAATTATGCGAACAATCACACGACTTGATGCGAATGGACAGCGTCTACTGGTGACGCATTTCAATGATATTCCGTCGTGATTAAGTGGAAATTTTCGTGATCTTACAATGTGTAGTATGCAAGAAATTTTCTTTTTGTTCCACACCGATTGTTTTGTGTGTGCTACATGCTTAAGCACAAACACTGCCTAGGCATGTAGCACACACCTTGAGGGCAGTCAAGTCACTGTCTGGGTAAGAGGACTGAAGAACCTTGTGGCAAGCTGCCGGCAAGGGCACCAGGTTTCGTGTACATCACAACCGATCGTACACAGAACAGCCAGCACCAAGCACATTCTTGCAGACGCACCAGCGTGTCCATTCTTCGCTCGGCAAGATTATCTTTTACGTGCTGCTTCACGTTCACGCAGGGCACAATCTTCACATCGAATGTGTTTCATCTCAACACCCAGGATGAGACCATCGGCACCTACACATTGACGATGTTCTCTCCAACAGGCGCGTTTACGCCGTCGAGCAGCCACTGCTCGCTCCAGCGCATGCTTCGGCTGCCCCATTCTTACGCGCAAAGGCTTGGAGTGCCGAGGAAATGGGCGACCGAAGGCGAGAAAGAGCAGATGGCGAGGAGGGCAATCACATAACCCTCCAGTACAATCGCGATTGGTTAAACGCGCTGCGCCCCAACCGCAAATATTATCAGCAAAAGGGCAAGGGTATCAATGCTGTATTTGCCCTCTCCTGCGATAATCGCGAGCATGCTCCATCCGTTTTTGCCAACACAACGCTCCCCCAGAACAGTTGATGGCACAAGAAGTTACTCACTTTTTTATTGGTTTTTCATCAATTCCCTTAGCAGGAGTCTGTGGCGCAGTTGCTCCTGTAGTGCCGACAGGCTGCTTCTCACCCGTTTCTTTCACAGGTGTGCTCACTGAAGCTTTGCTCTTTAGTAGGCTCACGTCAGTTTCCTTAATATCACAAGCCCGAACGGAAACCTGAAAATGGGGCATGAATCGTACTCATGGTCTATGTTACACTGTGTGCACTTTTGTGAAAGAGGGTGCTGCAATGATAGTATCGGACAATGAAGCACAAAGACATCTAGTATATGCATTCTACCAGGTTCGATCGAGAAAATAAAACCCGGTCTTTCGGCACGCATAAATAAACTATGCCTTGCATTAAGGTGAAACTCCGTCAGAATATAATGCCGGCAGTGGGAACAGGATGAGAAAGTGTAAGAATGTGACGTTACCCGAGTCAAAAGATAAAACAGGGAAACCAAATTGCTCTACAAGCCGACGTCCACCTGGGCCTAATATTCGTCAAATGGAGAAGTTACATATATGGGTGCCTGTGGCATCTATTATGGTGAAGAAAACTCGTCAGCAAAAAGAACAAAATAGTCTTTCTTGGTGACAAATTTTGTCATTGAAATAATTGCCACAGGCATCCACGATGCCAATTCTCTGTAGACGTCAGCTCATAGGATTTTTTTTTTTAAATCCAGATAATATTGCGTTTTGAAACTTTTGCATTTTATCCCCACCACTACTGTCATATTCTGACGAAGTTTCAGCTTTCTGCAATGCAAACCTAGTTTATTTATGCGGGCCAAAACATCAAGTTTAATTTTCTCTCTCTGACTCGGTAGTTCAACAATCACTGATTTTGTGTGAGGCAATGATGAGAGAACAGTTAAAAAAAACAGCAGTGGCCTCTCTGAAACTGCATTAAAAAGAATAAGCTTGCATTAAAAAAAAAAAAAAAAGACTTCTTGAGAGCAGAATGGAAAGGATAACTGAATTAGAACAGTTAAGCTAAAATGCTGCAGCACCTCCATCCCTGAACGAGCAAGAGATCTAAAAAACTGGTGGAGCCTTTTATTACACAGGCCAACAGGTATACCTTAAGAACAGAGTGGCGCGGCTTTTTGGCTGGCTGGAAGTCTTCGTCGTCATCGTCAATCGTGATTGCATTTGCTGCTCCACGTGTCTTTTGTGCACCTGGCGAAACAAAAGTGGCAAAGATCCAATCAAGATTCAAATGCCAGATCAGGAAGAACCTTAAAAGGGGCACAGCAACAATTTCTCTACTTTCAGTAAATACCGCTAAGAATTATTCCTCGATATTTATAACCCGTGAAACTCGTGTCAGTTTTTTTTCTTCATGCAATGGCTGTTACAAAACTAATATGAGGAGAACGAGAAGTGTTCACTCCCTCAACTCGCAGCCAAAACACCACATAATCTGGAGCCAATTATGTGCCGCCAATATTTGTCATCGCCCCATGCTGGGGTTGGAAAAGCACAGGGCACGCACCGAGTTCCACAAAGTGTAAAGGTTCGGCTATTCCCATCATCCAGCCAGTACCCGAATGCACACTGAGGCATTGAGTGTCACAAGCTCAAATTGAATGCTCACGCAGTGCTTGGGTCGACCGTATGAGATGCATTTAAATATCATTACTATGGGTATTGCAAAGCTTGACGACGAGATCCTGGGGATTTCATTGTTGACAACGCCAACAATGCGATCCCCACAACATCGACGCCAAGTTTGGCGAAGGAGAGACTAGGACAAAAAGGCTGCTTTCATCCTTAAAATTACGGAACGACAAGGCTTGGACAGTGGCATTGCGTGTGAGTATACTTGGGTCCCACGAGTGCCAGCAAGCTTGCATAAAGTGAGGAACCCTACCCAATATCCAATATCGTTGCACAACCTGTTTAACATTTAGTTCTTTGTTTACCCGTAAAGGGCACTTGACAATCTGAAGTCATCTGTATTTTGTATGAAGCACTAGAATGTGGTGCAAATACATCACCAAAGCAATTTTTTTGCTTTGGAGTCATGCGTGTGACGAGGAAAAGTCTTGCCCCAATGAGAGGACCAGCAAAAAAGATGATGGTAGATTCAGGAAATCGCATGGGTCTTTGAAGTATTTTTTAATGAACAACTTTCCTTTATTTTGATGGTCATAAAAATTATGTTTCTAACTAACATCACCTATCTTGAAGACAGGCTGCAAATCTTTGATTGAAACATACCAGCTAAGGCGAATATTTAGAAAGGTATTCAGTAGTGGCTTTGAAGAGGGGCTGTGCAACGAGATTCGTATGGAATGTTTTTCATTTTACACAAGCTTACTGGCACTAGAGGGACCCAAGTACACTTGCACACAATTCAAATGACCAAAAAACTCCTTTGTTGCGGTGTCATTTTAAGGATAGAAGCGAGCGTTTTCTTTCAATCTCTGCTTCGCAAAACTTGATGACGTAACTGGGGGATTGCAGTATCCCTCAGTGACGATATTTTAATGTGGCTCATAGATTTGACTCGAGCATTGCGTGAGTACTCAATTTGAGCTCACTAAAATCAATAACTCGACAAGCATTTGGGTACTGGCCCGTGTCCAATAGCTGCGATGATGACAATAGCCGAACCATAACAATGTGAAACTCAGCAGATGTCATGTGCTTTGCTAACCCCAGCCCGTGGCTATGATCAACATTGGCAGCATATAATCAGCTCCAGATTATGTGGCCACTTGCTTTGGCTGCGAGTTGAGGAGGTGAACGCTGCTAGTTTTTCTTTAATTTTTTCTACGACTTCTATTGCATGCGGTGAAAAACGGATATATGTTTCATAAGTCCTTTACATAAGAGATTCATTCTGAGTGGTATATATTTGCGCAAAGTACAAAAATTGTTGCATTGCCTCTTTAATAGACCGATCTTACCAGTAGGTTTCACTACGCCGCCACTGCCACGACGCAATGTGGGACTTTTAGTCTCTGCACAGCGGGGCTAGTGTGGTTGTGGACAGAGATGCAATGAAGATTTGGCCGACGGCCAACTTTGCACGGACAGCGTTAGCAGTGTTGTTCCATCAAATTGTTTTCTTCTTTGCTCCGCCGTTATGGCAGGTTTTACATGCTGCATCTCTGGCTGCAGCAACAACAGCACCAGACACAAGGGTGTCGGGTTTTCTAGCTTTACGGAGGACCGGCAGATGAAAGAACAGATTGCCAAAGTTCGCCGACCGGGCAGTAAGGGACAGTACTTAAACGAGTCTTCACTTGTTCAAGAAAGCTAGGTAATCAACGTTGTGTGCGTGAAAACAAACTCACACGGATTCTGATTGTCCTGTTGTCCTGAGAACGGGACAAAACTGACAGAACCCAAGGAATGACCCTTGGGTCAGAGGTGCCAGAAGATTGCGCTTGCCTTCGATTGTGCTTGCATCCCGATGCGGCATCTCGTGTTCGGCACTCATTTGTTAAACACACAAACTGTCTTTACCCTTTCTGCACCATTGTTTTTTTTTTACGTTTACAGTTTCTCCAAGTTTGTGCCTATGACTGGCCACACAAAGCGAAAATATTGAGCTTTTTTACATAGCCTTTGCTTGCTCGCCAAGTGCACGCGGGTAAGAGACGCTTGAACGTCTTAAGGACAAGGCCAGCGAGGTGGTACAACCAAATGTTTTAAAACCCGAGTCGACGGTAGAAGCAACGAACAGAAACATGTTATAGACTAACATCGGTGAAGTACATTTCCAATTATAAACTAATGCCTCGTTTACAAACATACCCCGGAAAATTTGCCAGAGTAGAAAGACAAATTATGAACAATAAAAAACATGCTGCGCAATGTACAATGTACCACAAGGCAGGAACAATGTGATCTGAATGTCCATGAGGCAGGCACGTATCCAAGGGGGGGGGGGGGGGGGGGCATGAGGCCCAGGCCCCCCCGAAGTCTTCCATTTTGCTGGGGCCTCCTCTCCCCCATCCCCCTCGGGCAGCATTTTGTCATGGGCGGGCCCCCCCGGAATCAAAATCATGGCTACGTGCTTGCCACGAGGGCAAATGTTGCTCAGCATGTTTGCCAGTAAACCATCAAAGCATTTAAGTTGCAATAGCTTACACCAATTGCTAGCCTTATCCTTAACAAACAATCTGGCAAACAATCTGGAAAAAATGGCGGGGCATCTTTTTCTGACACCCGGCCGTTGCCTTCCGACGTGCTTTGACTGCACGTCCACACTTGAAGCTCAGGAGGCACTGAAGCACTATCGAAGGTCATTCTCATTGGCTGCGAGGTGAGAGTAAGATGCTCAGGTCTTGCCGTACCCTGCTTCTCTTAACAGTGACTATGGGAAGAGGTGTGCCATTCACAGGCACATGCAAACAGGCAATGGATAAAAAATATGCATACTGGGCGTAGCACTCCGAACAGCCACACTTGGAGTCTTTGGTTTCTCTCCGCAAGCCAGGAGGCTGTCCAGGTAAGCCTGCGTCACCACTGGCACCAGCTGCCCGTTGACGACGATGCTCTGACCGGTTTCCAGCCAAGGGTTGGGAATGGCACCTCGGTTCGAGGGGACGGGGCTTGCCGCACCAGGCACCCCAACTGGGGCGCTGCCCTTCACTAGAGTTCCGGCAGTCGACTGAATTTTGTGTGCAGGTGTATTGGGTTGATGCAGAGCATGGCCATCTTGCAGTTCGTTTTCCCTCGCTGCAAAAGTCGAACATGGGAAAGCTTAAGCGGCACCGGGAGGCGAGGAGTATCTGTGCGCCTGTACAGTAAACATTGATATAGAGAACTTCAATTACAGTAATTTGTAATGCAAGTGCCTGCCTTTTTTTTCCTCAATTTAGTGAATTTGTTTTGGTCCGGAGTTTCGCTTTCACGAAGCGTTCATTCATTTTGTATGTACATATAGGCATCTGCCATGCAAAGATAAGGGAAAGAACTCTGCTGAAATGGGTTTCAACGCTTATTTACACTCAGTAATCCCTTGTCAACTCAACAGATGGGTATCTCAACATACTTGTGCCAGGGAACGAACACCATTCTTTAACACCTCTCTAGGAATCCTTTCAGAAATTCAAAATTTGGCAGGGGAAGTTAAAAAAAAAATGACCAGGAAGCCTAAAAGCTTTTTAAAGAGCTGAACAACCTAAAACTATGATCTTTAGACAACCAAAAGCCCAAGAGAGGATATAAAATAATGTTTCCCAAGCAGTGAACCAACAAAACACACTTCCACTAGTCTTAATTCCATTTGGCAAGATGATACAATGAAGGAAGATAAGTGTCCTGCCTGTTTTCTTAGTCAAGCAGATAGACCTGTAGTGCTATCCCTCAGATTCTCTCTATTGTTTTTCACCTGCAGCACAAACTTCTCATTTATGTTTAAAGAGAAAAAAAATTGTTTATGAGGAAAGCAAGTTTCCTCGAGCTGTCGCTCTGGGTTTTCTTCTTGCTTATGAACTTTAGTCTAGACTCATTTAATTACAATATGTGAGCTGTGCAACAGCCACTAGATTCAATATTACTGTTTTCTCCAAGAGAAGTCAACAAACAAAAACAAAAGCCTGCTACCCCTCTTTCTGATCACAAGCCAATGATTCTACCCCACCCTCTCCCCCTCTCCACAATCCCCTTTTACTTCCTTTGAGAACTTCTAACAAAGAAAAGAAGAAAGAAGGCCCCTTATATGTTTTGTTTGACCATTGTAAAATGTATACTTTCTATATTCTGGTTTCGATCTCCCTTTGATAATTACTTTTCGATTTTTTTCCTTCCTCTGTTCTGAGTGGAGCCATAATTAGATTAAATATTACTAAAACACAGTAACAAAAACACACAAACACAGGAACAAACGAAAAAAAACAAAAGTTTGCCATGCCCTCTTTTTGATCACAAGCCAATGCTTCTACCCCACCCTCTACCCATCTCCACAACCCTTTTTATCTTCCTACAAGAATTTCTAAAAAAAATGTTCAAAAGCCCTTTGTGTGTTTTGTTTGGCCATTGTAAAATGTGCACTTTCTATACACATACTTTTATATCCTCTTGATCATTACTTTTAGGTTTCCTTCCTTTCTGTGTTCTGAGAGGAGTGATCAGACATGAAATCTAGGAGATTCAATTTGAAAGTGAAAATCTTTCTAGATAATGAACTTCAGGCTCAGGAGGGATTGCTATAAATACTGGAGCTCATGCTTTTGCAGTTTTTTTTTTAACAAGTAAGCCTATGATATTTTTTTGTCAGGAAATTTTTTAGTTCCCATCTTGCTATTTGATATTTTGACCAAACAAGCACCCACACCTTTGTATCACCCAATTCTCGCTATATCTTTTATGAGCATTTCTTTTATTTCAAGTAACAGAAACCTTGATGAAAAGAAACTTCTCAATACAATGAAGCCAGCAATTCTTCAGTATGACTTCGCTGAAACGGGATATAACTGTCTCTCTTAAACTTTTCCAAAACTTTTCCATTACAAAGGAGTCGAGGTTATAACAGAATCTTACTACATAGAAGGTCAGAATTCTATGTAATCATGGATACTGGCAGCACAATATCAAACTAAAGGAAACAACATTTGGAACAACACTTGAGATAAGATAGCGACAGTTATGCAACATAAATATCTCACCTTCCAACTCCTGCCGTAGTCTCTCAAGCTGAGCATAATAGATCTCTGTGTGTAGAAACAAACACTGGTAAGCTCTGTTGAAACCCATAACACAACCTTGAAAATTATAGATTTACAACCTTTACGTTGCAAATTTGACCGACAAATTTACAATTATTGAAATTTACAATTGTGTGGTGTGGCCACACTGTTTCTGAGATTGACCCACTAGTATATTCGATTCCAGCTTAAAGGGATGCTGAACCGAAAATCGAATTTCAGAAAACAATGCAGAATCAATAGGCGGGACGCTACAAATCTCAAAACATCACTCATAAAGCAGTACCTCCAACGGATCGTCGTATTTTTGAAAAAGAGTGCGCTCGCACAAAGCCGCAATTCTCATTTCCTCCTCTTACAGCTTTGACTCCGCGAGGGCGCGGAGAAGAAAGGGAGCGAGGCCATTTCTCTTCCTTCTCAACCCTCCTGTGATAAGATGACGTCAACATTCTCCATCATTCACTCCCTTGTTTTCCAGAAATACGGCCATCCGCTCGAGATATGGCTAAATGAGTGATGTTTCGTGGTTTATTGTACCCTGTTGAACACTTCTGCAAGCTTATTTCGTGATATCCGAATTTCGGTTCAGCATCCCTTTAAGAACCGTAGTAAAATAGTTGGCCCCCCCATGGTGCAGTCCTAATTTCCCCCTTTACGTGGTGAATTGAGATACCTGTAGTACACACATTTAAGATTAGCTATTTGTTACCCTATCGAAATGCGCAAACTTAAAAAACCAAAAGCAGTTTTAAAGCGATAGCTTTACAAGTGACATAGACTTTGCAGGGATTTCAATGTCGGCGTTTGTAGTTGTCTGTCGTTGCAGCGTAGATAGAAACACCTTGCTCTCCCCAAGTGGCAAAAGAAGAAAGAAGTTGGGTGTTTCCACTGACCATGCCGCACGAAGAGGAAAGAAAGGAGAGCCCCGACGACCCGCCAATAACGGTGCGACGTTAAGGAAACGTCAGCAGAGCATCTTCCCCCGTCGTCTGCTAACGATAACTTCAAAACGGGCGTCTTCAAACATTACGCACATTATACGAAATCCCCCTTTGGCAGCATCCAGCTGCTACGTGTAAGTTTGAAGGGTTTTAGAAACTTCCAGCTCGTTCGATTTTACTATAACGTCTCTACTTCTCAAACCCAACTCGAAACATAAAATATGTTCTGCCAGAACTCGTCGTCTCGAACCCCACCAGAGCTTTGCCTCATTTGCCTGCATGCGTCCCCCATTCTGCTCATTGCTGAACGTCAACATTACCCCCTCCGTTCACCGCTCAACAACACCGGGAAAACCTGCACCTTCGCTCTTCCTAATGGTGCCGCCAAGCCAACGCGGTGCTCTGTCCCAGTGGTGATCATGGAGGGAACGGCTGGCTTCCGCAGCTCGCGATCAGCATCGCGCCCACACTGACCACCAACGAGAGGCCGCCCGTGCCGTGCGTACACGGCGACGTGAGGATCTCAAGGTGTGCAAACATTCTACAGAAATCGCTTTTACTTCTTCGCACATTACGGGCGAAAAGGCACCCTTTATTCTCTCTCTGACAACAGAAAGTGGTAAGAACTACTTTGTACAGTGGAAGAACTATGGACTATACTTGCTTTTTTCTTAACATGACAGGAACTATTGATAGACGAACAAGATAGTAACTCATTTAATATCATACTTAAAAAAAAAAAGGAACTTATGTACACAGATTTCTTATTAATATCATGAAAACACCAACTGGCGGGCTAGATGGTGCTATATAGCGTAGTGCTGCAGTAATATTAGCGAGAGTGAACACAGATTTGTGTCCGCATGCTCATTCTCGCTGATATAACCGCAGCGCTACTCTATGTGGAGCTGACCAGCCCACCAACTGAAGCTTCCGTGATAATATTAGAAAGTTTCAAAACTGTACTGTGCTTAGGCACATTTTACATGATAAATGATGCCTAGACATGCTTGTCACTATTTGTACAAAGTTTCATTTCTCCCAGCTTTGAGAATGTTGCACGCAGCTAAAAACTATGCTGACAAGTACAGACGCTGAAGCATGCGTCCTTAAAAAGTAAAGAAAAAAAAATATATATACAAGAATGCTTATAAAAAGCGAACTTTTTATAAGCACTTCTGCTTGAATATTTGTGTGCTTACCAACACAAAACCCAATATTTGTTGAAACAATCCCCAATTTTCTCTTTCTACCAATTTCTGAAAAACATAAAAATGAAACATCTTTAGCCCAAGCTAGAAAATTGTGAGGTTTATCATTCCTTTTTGTACTGAAATTATTTGTTTAGTAGTAACTAAAAAATAAAACTTACTGCCAAAAACTATCTGAAAAAAAAACAAAAAAAACAAGCATTGCAGAGGAACCGTTTGCATCAGTGGCGTAGCCAGGAATTGTTTTTCAGGGATGAGGCTGAAACCCCGAGGCGTGGAAAAACATGCAGTTCCGACATGAGGTGTGGGCACTATGCGTGCAGAAGAACCAGATTCGCTTGAAGTGGAGCGTTTGCGCATGCGCCCTGCCAATAGCAGCGCCGCCGCAGCGGTGCGATGTCAGGGCCGTGTGTTTGTGTATATGCTCATCCTGATCAGATTTAACGATTGTTGCACACCGTGCACCAAAGAGAGTTGAGATGGACACACTTCACCTTTCTGGTTGGCTTGCCAAGCAAGACAGGAGCAAAGCAATGCCAGCGTTTTGCCACTTCCAGTTGGAGACTCTATGAGGCAGTTTCGCCCATTCTTCAATCCCTGCAGAACCTGGAAAATTTCGGAAGAAATGTGTCGTTCCCCCGAATGACTGAAGCCTTAGCCACTACACTCAAACGCTCATAGTCGTCTGAACTAACCAGAGGTAAAAAATATGTATTCGTGTGCCTTTCCCGTATGTACTCAATGAATCTTAGTAGTCTCTGGATACAAGGTCTATCCAGAGACCAGAGACAAAGATTTATCCATCACGCCAGTGTGCAAGTAGGCAACACCTAGTCTTTTCTGAGGCCGAACGAAGCTGGCTCATCTGTACCGTCTATGGATCGTAATCTTTTGAGACGCACCCTTACGATGACCAATTTCTGAGATGGGTACGGAGCGTAAGGAAACGCCACGGAGTGCGATTCGATCAGGAGCTGCTCTGCACCGGACGGCTTTTCTGGGCTCGGGTTTGCTAGTTCGCGTTCACACATCTGTAAAATAAACCAACCCTGTTAACATGTGACAACGCTTTCGAGACGATCTGAACGAAAACACAACTGGAACACTCACGCTGCGATACCACCCTACTCCAGATATTTCGTATTCGCGAAGGGCATGGCACTTGCTTCAAAGTGCGGACTGTGCTTTCGCGGGGTTCCGAATTCGGAACTTCAACACCCAAAAGCGATCGCATTGACTGATTTCTACGAAAACAACCACAGCACTACACAATCAACACATTCTGCGGGAAGGAGGAGAGCTGGCATCCGAATCATCCGATTGTCGCCTCCATCTTTACGCGCCAGATTAACTTCTTCCAATGTTGTGAGCCAAATTGGAAACTTTTGCTAAAACCCAGCTAAAACCAGAGTCGTTGCGCCCCTTGCAACGGAGATACTGCTAAAGTAGCTGAAATCGCCAGAAATGATCCACTTACCAGAAAAAAGAGAATAAAAGGAGTGCACAAATGCGAGTATCAATGCTGCAAAAAAAAAAAAGAAACTGCGTAGATTATGCACAAACTAAACGCACGTACCAGTCTCCAGGTGTCCTTTAAATGTTCATCTATTTATTACAGCATAAGGGCATACTGATAGCCACAATGGCTGGTTTGCATCAAGTCCCTATCGTTTCGTAGAAATTCGTGGGCAACTTTTCATGGTCACAACCAGGGTGGTCACAACTTTCATGGAGACATGTTTCATTGACACAAACGTTTCATCGAAACTCATTACAAGGCCCCTGAAAAGAAAAAAAAAAAATGTTTCTTTTTTAAACGGTCTGGTTGAAACATGCATGTCAAAAAATAAATTTTAAGCAAAAAAAGCTTGAGGTATACCTAAGCACTTCTTACGAGTTGTGAATGCGAAAGCATGCAAGTCGCTCATGCGCTCCCTTTTTCATCTGCTGCATACTTTTCGTCGTCAGTCAGCACGTATGCTCCCCTGGGCATGCTGACCTTGGACGCTCCATGTTAATGGCACGCTGACAAACACGCAGCACCATGGGGTGAGCGGTCATGGCAACTTACGCGCACAGCGGCCAATGGGAGCCCCGTCGACATGCGCCAGCCAATGGAACCGAAGGCGAAATCCATCAGCTTTACTTCGCTCCTTTGGGATCGGGAAGCTAGGTGCCGTTTTCACGCTTCAAACTGATGACGTGAGATCGCTCCACAAAACAGTTAATGCTTTCGCGTTCAAAAAGTTTTTAGAGCAATATCGGTGCCACGTGACGCGATTTAGCTGGTAGCCACCTCCTTTCCACTTGTTTTCTCTCTCCGCATTTTGGATGCGTGGAGGTGAAGTGGATCAGTTTTGCCTTCACGTTGAGGTGGAAAGAGCGAAAGACCATCTCGTTAAGGTGGAAAGAGCAAATGACCATTCCGTGACGTCATGGACTGCACGCAGAATTTCAGATAACTCTCTCGCCGTCAATATTGCTCTAAAAAAATTTTTTTTCTTTTTTCGCATGAAGTTTTTTTGATGACACAAGTGTTCATATTAAGCTGTTCAAACTTTTTTTTTCTTTTCAGGGGCCTTTTACGCGAATTGCATTCTGTAGGGACATTTTGTCACGTGTGTATCACTGGGGTGCACATTAGCCCACCCCGTCCATATCATGCGAGCGAATGATGTTTTAGCGAAAAGCGACATTTTAGCAAATAACAAGGGCACGTGTTAACGCACCCCCCTGCGCTGTGCTTACGATGCTTCGCGGCGGCAGTCTGTGGAGGCTCATTACAAAAATGCTAACCCCCTTGGCCCAACCGTTAACACCACTTCACGGCGGCCCACTATTCGCTCAAGTGCCATTCGGTAAAACGTCGACGTTTGCTAAAATGTCATTCGAGTGCCTCCTCCACATTCACGCCGCTTTGTGGCGAGTCTGCGGCGGCTCATTACAAAGATTCGTACACACCGCTTCGTAGCAACAGTCTCATGCAGCTTATTCCAAAAAAAAAAGCTAATCTAAGCTGTTAACGAAACTATTTGTCGATGAAACATTGCGTGTTGACGAAATGTTGTTCAATGAGCCGATTGCCACTGCTCAAATCGCTGTACCAAGAAAATCTCGAGAAAAGTGCTCGAAAACAGACCATACTTGCTCCCAAGCCTAGGGTGACCGTGCACAGCAGGGGTCTCAAACACATTGGAGTGTGAGGGCCAGATAGCCCACTGTTGAAATGATGAGGGCCAGTGGGGGGGGGGGGGGGGCCTATTTTGCTATTTTGGAACAAAAGCAAACAATAGTGGTGTTTCACGTTGAAAAGCAGCCAACTGTTCCAGCGACACCCCAGAGATTTTCTAGACAAAGAACCCTGTGCTTTTTGTGAGCTCACTGTTTTGCAATTTTTAACTTTTATACGAATATACGGCTACTTTTAAACGTAACCTGATGTCATAGGAAGATTAAAAACACCACCACATCAACGTACTGCCAGTTTTCGATAGAACGAGAGCAAGCACACCGCCCTTGCCCTGTCGCTCAATTCACTAAGCTCAACAGTCAACAGGCATAGAAAAATTACCTCCTCATATAGCAGTTTTTGCTTTCCTGACAATGTTTATAGCAGCACTATAAGAAAATACTCATATTTTAAAGGTATTGTCTGACAGCTAGAAGCCCAAGCTCATAGCTTTATCTTTGACAGTTACTCTTGCCGAGTATGTGCAGCCGAGGTGCCTCCTAGAGCAAAGAGCTTTCACGTGATGCCTAGTAGCGGTATTGCCATTCTGGTTGATTTACATGAGAAAGGGCTCAGAGGCAAATATTTAGTCGCAGAAATACTCCATCCAAAAAAACAACATAATAGTGCAAAATGCATGAACACGTTATCCGAGCAGAGCTCCTTTTCAAACGGAAATGAATCGACAATATGTCGATTCATTTCCCCCTGCTAGAGAAACAACTTCACATCCTCAACAGCCTCCTGGGCTATGTTCATGAGGCCAAGATCAATGCCTTTATGTGATCCTTCATCCCTTTCTCGTGTAGCCGGCATACAGACCGTGGCGTCACCGATGCTTCCCTCGAACCCCTTCCCCCATCTAATGTTTCTAATGAATTCGCTTGACTGACTAAATAAACTATGCATCGCTGAACATTCATTGACCGCCCAAATGTAGCGCTAACAGTCCGAAGCAGATGCCAGTTTCGGCACTAAATGATATTTCATTCGAAAGTTACAAGCGATTTTCTGAAAATTTCAGTAAGAAATGGCAGTCGACGGAGCTCTTGATTACATAGAGCTCTATGGCAGCAGTCACCAAAAACAGGTGAAAAGAGGCCCCATTTTTGCCTTGAAACTTTCAGAAAATCACTTATAACTTTTGAATAAGGGTTAGTGCTGAAACTTTGGCATCTGGTTCAGAACTCTAGAGTAACATTTGGGCGGAGAATGAGCGTTCGGTGATGCGTAGTTTATTTCTTCAGCAAAACACGCAAGTAAATGTTTTGGGGACACACACCATACATTGTAGGAAATCGGGGGGAGGCGGGGAGCGGGGTGAAAAGAAAGAGCAAGCTCTGCTACTATTCAGTTCACTGTACAAATGCACTTTTCACAAGTTCTTCGTTCTATAGAGTATACGAGCACCTTTCTTTTTCATTTTGAAACAAAACCGAAGCACGCCATGTATAGCAATATGGAAAAGTGCCCCAAAGAAACATCTGTGCGAACAGAAAAGATTGACAGTTGGAACCACAGAAAGAGCTCTAATTTTACATCTTACCTTAGGAACAACTTTATAGTATGTTCATTTTTATAAAATGTATTCTTCCCATCTGCTGCTAGGATCGCAACACTTTGCATTCCACCAGAAGATATGAAATTTCGCTAGGGCTCGCTGAGATAGTGGAGTGGGGACACAAAGAATGTCTTTGCAAAATGGTGACCACAAACATCTAACGAGGCAAGGGCAAGCAGAACATTTCTTTTTTATTATGTCTTGCAGGTCAAAAGGAATAACTTAATAAAACAGAAACACATCAGAAGACTAGGGGCCGAAATGACACTGAGGAGAATCCTCAGGGTTGACTCAACATGAAACCTTACTGATAATTCTGGTGACCTGAAATGTAAGTACAAGATGCCACTTCATACATTCTAAGAGTACAGTGGGAATGAAGACAGCAAAATCAAGACAACAGCAGTTGTGATGAGTAGAACCCTAGATCACAGTCTGTAACAGTCTGCAATTATTGACGAGAGAATGGGTAGGGGTAGAAACAATTACCAACCACACTAGATGAAGCTTTTCGACACAAAATATGACCAGCATAACAATTCGGCAAACAGAACTTGTATCTGTAGCTATTACCGAAGGTACAAGAGCCAGTGGCTTCTACAGTGGAAAAAATACAATGTCCAGACACTCACACAGACCAGAAAAATATATCACCATGCCAAAACATCCCAACACCAACCAACACTTTGTTCCCATTTCATAAAAATCTAGAGCCATACTGGGTAGAAGTTTAGTTCTTAATAAAATTGTATAATGACCGCCAAGAAACGCGTGGCCTCACAAGCTGCGCAAGATTAAAAGCTCAAACGTAAACTGAGACGTTGATAAAAAGCCTTCGTCAGTTCATACAGCATGCAAAAGATTAAAAAAAATGGTAGCCCAAAACAAAGAAGCAACTTGGCATAAAACACCATGGCATTTTTAACATAAAATGTACCATGTGGACAGCATAGGATGTGCGATACAGTTTGCCCAAGCATCCATGACCAACACCAAATTTCACCTTTTAAGTTGGAGTCACACATATGCACATCTCAGAGCTAGTGGCGTCGGGACAGGAAAAAAGTGAAGGGGGGAGGGGGGGGATAACGCCCCCCCCCCCCCCCCCTTTCTCAACATTTGAGACATTTCTAGCTAACAATTCAGGGGAGGGGAGGAAAATCTAAGTTCCCTCCCCTGTCACCCCCCTCATTTTTCGAATACTTTTAATGCCCCTCTTCAGAGCATACAGCAACGCTAATAACAGTTTTTTAACTGTGCAAGAAAAATGTAAAAAAACTGGCAATCACGCTTTCGGCCACACTGTGTCGTCCTTTGTATGTTAATAACGTTAAGATCCATTATTCATCATATAGACCTGAAGCTACGTACTTACAACTGGGTAAAAGAAAAACTTTCTATGGCTTCTGGGGATGCCACTGTGTCCGACCTAAACAATAACAGAAAGATAGGGGTAAAATTGAAGCAGCCACAATAAAAAGCTAGGTAGAAGCCTTCTCAAGAACCTTACAGTGCATCTCTTCATGCTCACAGTTATGACAAGCACCAAACACCGAAATGGTATGACTGACTGCAAGTAGAAATACATTTTTTTTTCTGCACTTCCCTCCCACTATAAGTTACCTTAGCTTCAAGCTGCAAGGATGACTTTGGAGCATGTTGAAGAACTCGGGGACATATGCATCTCAGAGAGCTTTCGTTGCAAACAACAATGGGAGGAATGCTCGTAAGGAATGTCTTCCAAGATTAAGGAAAAAAAAAAAAACCTGACCAGAGAGATTTTAGGGAAAAAAAAAAAAATCACAACTCAACGACTTTGAGGTCTGAGGCTGACGTAGAAGGAAACTCAGTTTCTTGGGGGATGAACTTGCCGATGGGCTTCATGGCCTCCTATGAGAAGCAAGATAAGAAAAGCAGTTATCTACAAAGCTGGACAACAAATGTTTCAAACTGTGTTCGCTCAAAAATTAGACTATAAGGAAAGTGCAGAATCGAAAGCTTGTCCACCGATAGCCATACCCTGCGCTCCTTAAGCTTGGCCATCTCTTCTTTGAGCTTGTTGAGTATGCACAGGTTGGGGCGATTGGCACTGGCCTTGCTCTGGAGCTTGGTGATCCGCTGCTCTTCTTCCTGCAAGGCGGCACGACAGCCACAACGAGGCACTTGTCAGGACACTGAAAAAGCTTTTGCTCCGACTTTTACCCCCGTGCAAATCTGTTTAGTGAACTACCTAATGTAGCACACAGCAGAGGTATCAGCACCCACCTTCTTTTCTTTTAATGTCTTGCATGATCCTTTTCCATATAGTCTGAGTAAGGAACCCCATGAAGTGATGTGAGGATGAAGTGCCTAGAATAAGACAACACAATACATGGCAGAGGCTCATATCTGGTTCATTGTGCAGCACAAAGAGACTGTGGAGCATTTTCTAGTCTACTTGAGAACTCCAATACTTTAAAGGACACATGCAAAGGAAAAAATCATTTTTTTAAACGGCTTAGATGGAAAAAGGACGCCATAAAACAATTTTACAACGAAGAAAAAAAATTTTTAGAGCTATATTTACGGCGCAAAACGAATTTGTAGTTGGCGCCCGCAGGCACCGCGGAAAAGTGGTCTGTATTTATCATGTGACTGGTCCTTATTTATCATGTGGTGCTTGCGTTCTTTCGGAAGCTTCCTATGGCCTCTACAAGTACCGTATTTACTCGCATATAGGTCGACCTGTTTTTCAAAAATCGCCTCATCAAAACTGGGGGGTCGACCAATACGCGAATCCCGGTATTATATTTTTCAACTTTTTTTTTTTTTCGGGGGTCCCGAAGTTAGGGGGGTCGACCTATACGACGTATCGACCAATATGCGAGTAAATACGGTAACTTATTCATCTTTGTTTGAAGTATAACAAAAAACTAAGAAGAATAAGTAACTTTTAGAGCCCAAAGGAAACTCCTGAAAAAGCGCAAGCAGACGTGATAGACCTGTGCGCCGGTCAGACGACGGTGGCGGCGCCCCGAAGCAGACGAACTTGTGCGGCGGCGGCGACGGCGGCGTAAAGAAACGCGTTGAAGCGGCGTTCGCACAACGCTCAGCGTGCGGCGGCGACGCAGCGCGGCGGCGCGCGGGCCTACCACGTGACCAGCGGCGGCTCCCGCGAGCGCCAACGACAAATTCGTATAGCGCCGTAAATATAGCTCTAAAATTTTTTTTTCTTCGTTGCAAAATCGTTTTATGACATCTTTTTTCCATCTAAGCTGTCTAAAAAAAATGTTTTTTCCTTTGCATGCGTCCTTTAACATACATGCTAAGGTTTTCATTTTAGAATGACTCAGGGAAGGACATGGAAGGCAAAACTGGAAACTATAAGAAAGGTTTGGCTTCAAACAAATGCATATGTTTACTAGCAGTATACATGCATCATACTGCTTTTGAATATTCTGGCACCCATTTATGGTCCATAAAAACCGCTAATTCAGCAGCATTCCTAGCCATGTCAGTAACACATGCGTCTAACATTGATGAAGCAGAAGTGTGAGAGTACCCGCTCAACCAGTATTCCTAAAAGAGGAAGAAATGAAACAATTTTCTGCCCGGCAGAAATTCACTTTTCTCCTCCTGGCATTTCTAAGTTCTTTTCGCAAATAAAAATGAATAATGAGCTCAAAAACGAATAGAACCTTTTAGATTCATCGCAACACGGATTCCGGCAGGGATATTCTTGTACTAGTACGCAATTAGTTGAATTTTTCATGACCTTTCTTTGGCAATCGAAAAGCGACAAAGTATTGATTGTACAGTCAAACCCGTTTATAACGAACAGCAGGAAACGCGACAATCGGTTTGATATAGCAAGTAGTTTGATATAGCAAAAAACATGTACAACAAACTTCCACGATGAGTTCGTTGTAAGGCGATAGCTTCTCTTTCTTTCTCATCTCTTCACTTACGCCTTGTACAACACGCTGGAAGTTTTTTTTTTTTGCTTGCGTACAGTTTGTTCATTTAGCTTATCTTCCCACTGAATCGCTTCTCTTTGTGGGCAAACGCTTTGATATGAAAAGTTTTTTTTTCTGTGCGTGCGTGCAGTGTGTTTTTAAGCGTTCTCCCCTTCTGAATCGCTTCTCTTCACTCATTTTTATTCGCAACTCGAGCTTTCGGGATTTTCGTTCTTTCCTACTTCTTTTTGGAGGGAAGGGAGAGGCTAGAAGACGATTGTTTGCGCGCTTTTGGAAGCCCTCCCGGGGGGAAAAAAATTCTATATAAACAATACGTTGTTCGTTATAAAACATACTTTTTACATGCACTTTTATTTAAATTTTCCGTTAGTTCGATATCGACAATAATTCGCTGTACGTGGGTTTGTTCTAAACGGGTTTCACTGTATATTTCTTGATTTCAGCAAGGCTTTTGATGTCGTTCATCATGACCTTTTAATTTCCAAACTACACGCTTATAAACTTGATGACAAAGTTTATAACTGGATTCGTGAGTATTTGTCGTTGAGAAAACAGTATGTGGTTTTAAATGGCTTCCAATCCCAAATGGCCGACGTCTCTTCAGGTGTGCCGCAGGGCTCGGTTCTAGGACCGGTTTTATTTCTTATTTACATAAATGATATTGCTGTTGATGTTTGTTCTACCATTCGAATGTTTTCAGATGATTGTGTTGTCTATAGACAGATCAATAATTTGCAGGATAGTGTGATTTTGCAAAAGGACCTGGACAGCATTGAATCATGGTGTCAGTCATGGCAAATGTCTTTGAATGTAAAAAAAAAACTGTACGTGTCACTTTTACCCAAGGAAGGTTTTACCGCCAGCATTTCGTTATTCACTAAATGGGAAAGTCCTAGAAACCCTAAATGAATTTAAATACCTTGGTGTATATTTCACATCCTATCTGTGTTAAAATGCGCATGTTGACTATATTTCCTCGAAGGTTTCACGGATGCTAGGTTTTCTGCGTCGAAATTTCCTAATTGTACCTCAGTCGCTCAGAGAAACAATATACTTTTCCCACGTTCGTTCTATTCTGGAATATGCTTGCGTTGTCTGGGACCCTTATAGTACCACCTTTTCTATACAAAAACCTGAAAAAATATGAAATGCGGCTTCGAGGTTTGTTTTAAGTAATTACGATTGGCGACTAATAGGACTGAGTAAAAACGCAAACTTAAGTGGCAATTATTAAAAGATCGCAGAAAGCAGCTCCGTCTCAAATTTGTTCACGATATTTATTATGGTAAAACCGGTGTAGAAAAAGATAAATATATGAAAGTGCCTTTTTACGTATCCAGTAGGAACGACCATGCTTTAAAAATTAGAGGAATTCCTTTTAAGGGTGACGTACTGCGACACTCCTTTTTTGTAGAGACCGCGCACAATTGTAACTCCGTTCCATCCTGCGCTGTCACCATAGCTCCCAATGACGCCTTTTTTCACGCACTAAATGTGTGCGTTTTTTCTGTGTCTGTATAATGTTTGTTTCCCCCCCACTGTAATGCCTGATGGTGAAGTGGGTACCTGAATAAAGATAAAAAGAAATGCGTTACAGGGGTGCAAATAAAATAAAAAAATAGAAGTGTGTTACTTAAAAACTTTGTGTGATAACTAACTGCCCTAAATCTGGTGGAGAGAAATTGCCTGACTAAAGTTAAGCTGTCTTGTTTTTGTTAATGCTAGGACCCTGATACACCGACACCAGTGTCATTCTCATTCACCAAACCCCTCGGATTTTCCAATAACGTTTTTTATTGAACATTTTTAACATTTTTTTTTTTTATTTTTTTTTTTTTATTTTTACGATTGTTAAAAGAGGATATCGTAGCTCCCCAGGCCCCATGTGTTTCCAAAGACAACTTTTTGGACCGACTGACCAGCAACCACTGGACAGAAAGACTTCGGGATGGTTTTATTAAAAAGCAAATAAAAAAATGACCGCATCACCACGTGGTGAATGATGTTGATTGGGGCGAAGCTCTGGTGGTGCTGATGATACTGATTTTGTTCATAGGCAGTGCTGATAGTGCTGATTTTTTTTTTATTGCTCATAGGTAGTGCTGAGTTCCGGGTTGCGTTGGTATGGAATGTGTGGTATGGAAAGTGGTTATATACGCATTTGAGCATTTGACCGCAGCGCCCTCTCGTCTATAAACATTGAGCCAATGCATGCAAAGTTTAACGCAATTATATATGCATTTGACTGCAGCGCCCTCTCCTGTATAGACGTTGAGCGGCTACATGCAACAATTCATCCATGACATCCCCAGCTCTTGAGTTACTACCACATCTCAGAGCCTCCTACTCGTCCCGCAGTCGTGGCCGAGTGGTTAAGGCGATGGACTAGCTAGAAATCCATTGAGGTCTCCCCGCAGAGGTTCGAATCCTGTCGACTCCGCAAACATTGTTTCTTTTTTTAAGAAGACAGATGGGATGGCAATCGATGTGAGCACGGACGCCGGACGGACAAGGCTAGACCCTAAGGAGCTTCACCCCTAAAAACAATTTGTAGGGTGGTCACACTTTTCCCAGTTTTGGGGCTGGAAATTTTTTACAGGAGCATGAATTCTTTCAAACTGCCCCCTTTCTTAACCTGTCGTTCATAAGCAGTCCTGAAGAAAACAGAGGCACTAATAGACTTCCTGAGAACGTATTGCGGAAGGTAATTTGTTTCTTAACATATCTTCAACAACATCCCCGTTCCATGTATTACAATAGGAAAATAGGAGGATCAAGTTTGCACTCCGGTGAAAGCCTAAAAATTGCCTTTCTCCATGAATTTTACTATCTATCCCGTGGTGCCACCTGTGAGCAAGCTTTCAGATATTTCACAATCACGGTCATCTTGGGTTAGTGCTAGGGTGACCATATTCCTCAAGGTAGAAAACAAGACATCCAAGCGGGGGAAAGGGGAGGGGGGGGGGGGGAATTGTAATAAAGATTGAGATTGGGAGAAAAATATTTAATGAAATAACTGGCTGGTATTTCAAAACGTCACCATATTGCACTAAATTTTACTCTCTGGGTAAATATCCCCGCTTAGGTTCACGCCGCTTCTCGGTGACAGTATGCGGCTGCTCATTACGAAACTGTTAACCCGCTTGGCCCCATCGTACACGCCGCTTCGCAGAGTTCAGCCGGTAACCGAAGCGTCCAGAAAGAGTCCCATACCATTTAGTTCAGCAAATTTGCGTTGACAAGATTAGTCTTTTTTTTATTTTTTTTCTTTCAGTGTTGATTGTAAAAAAGAAATATAAATATTGCCACATGCTCAAAAAAAAAAAAAAAGTAGGCATTTTTTGTGGATCGAATTTGGGTCCGCTGCGTATGAAGCAGGCACCTTTCCTAAGCTATACGCTACTTTTTTTTTTTCTTTATTGCAAACTGAAACTCTTAGTAACATTTTCCGGTCGAGGTGCACGGGCTAGTGTGTATAGCTTAGCTCATATCTTAAAGTACCTATGGTTATTTTTGTAAAATATACTTGTAACGAGAACGCATAGTTTCGGTTTGCTTCAACTCGCTTGGTGCCAATTTCAAAACTATGCACTCCTGCGAAAACGGGACATGATCCTTTATTGGGACAAAAAGATGAGACGGCAAAAGCGGACCTCAAAAACAAAACTGTCCCCGCCAAAACGGGACGTCTGGTCACCCTATAGTAAGTTACAAGTCAAGAAGGTAGCGGCAAATGCCCCTCAAAGGGGTTCATGTATCCCTCTGCCAAGTCTGCATCCAATAGCGTCCCATCGTTTCCGTGACGTTGTGGCCAACGCGGGAGAGGGTTTTGCCTTCCTGTAAATATTTGCTTTATCTTTCGACTTTGACTTAGCGTTGTGGAACACAAGAGAGAGATTAGAGTTTTCCCCCTCTGATGGAAACAAATACTACTTTAGGAGGTTAGGTTCCCCCTCTGATGGATACAAAGGCCACTTTCAGGGGGCTCAGTTCCGTCTCCGATGAATACAAAGGTCGCTTTCTTAAAAAGTGGGGGTCGTAGACAAGTTGGCATCACACTGTAGCCAATATCTATTCACTGAACCGGAACAAAAGACGTTTCCAGTGAACTATTCTTTCGATGGCGGATGAATTTGAAACAGGCGCATCACGTTTGTGGGGAGAGCTTCTTCTACCTTCTTGACTTGTAGCCGACTATAGTTAGTGCGCAGCGACGAACTACTTGCACGACACCGTTTCTTTCAGTCTTGTTCAAGGTTTCGGGGTGCATGCTTTGCGGGTTATATTTCTTGTTGTTTTTAGTTAGAGATTTGGGCAGAGCTGCGAGTAAATCACGCACTCATTGCTTTTGCAAGAGCCGTGTGGGGGAATGTAAAATTGGCAACGCTTTTCTTCTTTTTGTTTAGGTGCTCTTTTTTTTTTTTGTGTGTAATACCGCATATCGTTTGCTCAAGTAGTGGCATAGCAAGGAATTTTTTTGAGGGGGGCTGAGGTGGGTCCACAATTTGGGGTGCCGGCGAGGGGGACTGAAGTCCCATACACTGATCTCTATTGTAGTAGGTTGGATAGCGGATCGAGGCTAGTCTTGCTGGGGTCGAGTGGCACCACCGGCAGTCCTAATTTGACACCAGCTAATACATGGTACTCTATGAGAGATACGAGGAAAACTGCAATTTCTTACCCTAGTAGGTTGTTCTTGACGATAAAACTTTTATTGCGTTTTCAGAAAATGACAGGTTAATATTATGTTAATATTCTGGATGCAAATATTAGAATACCAACCTTTTTTAAATAAATGTTTTGCGGTTGAGGGTCGAGGGTTGTGACTTTGTTGGACGTAAACTGTCATGCGGTTCAATGAGACAAGGGTTGCCGAGAGTCAAGTGAAGTCGTTAGAGATCTCGAAGTCATCAGAGCCTAGCAGACGATAAGTTAGGAGGTCTTTACGGGGGCATTCGTATTGTTTTAAATGCTTGTACATAGTAGTTTTGGTGCAAGTCTTTTTTTCAGACTGCAGTGAGGGCTTCTGTGATGAACCAAAACTCGGAATGTGTCGTTCATTCTTTGAGCGATACCTTAACAAAGTCATAGTGAGGAGTCGGAGGCTTCGTAACGTCACAAATGTCATTAGACTGTCAGAGTTTCCATCGTTCAGCAGCACCCTTATGTTCCAGGTTTTGTAAGCCTTGGTGTTGTATCACATATTCGAAATGAATCCAGAATAAAGCCAGTGACTAATACAGTGTTGTAGACAGTCGTAACCAGGAGTATAAGGGTTTTAGCCCACCTGAAGAATGGCTTGAGATGCTCTCTGCTTCCCATCCCTCTTGTTCCTGCAGATGACCTGGGTAAAAGGAGAGAAAAGGTTGCCCAAAACTGCTTGGCAGAAGAACCTACACAACATGGCAACCAACTTACGCTCGCACTATGCTTGCCGACAGACATAATGAACTCGTTGCGCTGATGCTTCATGTTCTTCATCTCCTGCTTGATCTCTGTGTCTCCCATTCCATAATTCCTAAAAAAAGAAAAAAAGGAATGCCACGTTACCAGATCTGCTCGATGACTGTGCACCACACTTGTAAGAAATATCCTTTGTGATGGGTAGTCAAAACAAGAATGGGTTGCACCTAAAATAGTACCTTATTGCACAGCTTGAGCAAAACTTCTTATCTTGCTTTCCCTTTGGTTCTATGGGTCTTAAGTAGAGGTGTGCGAACATCAAAATCTTGTGAATCGAATCTAATACAGTCGAACCTCGTTATAATAAACTAGCACGCGAGCAGAAATTTGTTCGCGATATACAATATTCGTTATAACAGTACACACAAAAAATTGACGCGAATGTTCCTGCAATCGAGCCCGTGCAAGGATGTGCACAGCACTATGATATAAAAATGCGCTATCGCGGACCACAAGATCCTTACCTGTCACTAAGCAGCATTAAAAAAAATAGATCCGAACACGAGGATATCAATTCGCAACACGAAAAACGACGTTAGCTGGATCTATTATTTCATTTATTTGAAGAAAGATGCGATTTTGGGCTGGTGCCTCTTCACCTGGAGCCACTGCACTGGAGCTGAAATCATCATGCCCTAACAGACATGCCAGAGTGATATCTTTTGTTTGAAGAAGCTGACCAGACACTTCCAGATTCGCGCCCTTACATTCTTAAGCCATTAGAAGAGTGCCTCTTCCACGTCTCGGTAGAGGCAAGACCTAAGACTCTTTCGATCAATCTTGTTGGTGTTGTTTCCACAATAGTCTTCGATCTTCTTCCTTGCACTCAGGATGGTAGATATTGTGCTTGGTGCAAGCTTGAAGTCCGTAGCGATGTCGTTTTTTCCTCTGACCGCCGTCCACCGCACTCAACATTCACTTTTATCTCTAGAGAGACGGCTTTCCGCTTCGTCGTCATTTGCAGCTCTGCTACGAGTGGCATGGTTGGCGGTTGGCTTTTGTCTGCACTGGTTCTTGATGCCTTGCAAAGAGGCCAAAAGTGGCACCCCCGCTGTTACCCGCTCGGTTCGTAGGTGGCGCTACCTCCCGAAACGCGCATTTTTGCACATGGGGCAATCTAAACCTTTGCTATTTTTCGTTTTGAAATTACTTTTTGAATTTTTTTCATACTTTTTAATAACTTTCATTGTATTTTGTTACGCAAGAAAAGCAGGAATCGTTTCGCTATAACCGATAGCGCGTCAGATTTCACAGTTTCAGTTTTGTTATGTAACTAGAACTCAAATCTAAATAAAGCATGACCAATAAACTTCGTGATTTGTTTGCTATATCCGATAATTCGCTATATCAGTGTTTGTTATAAAGAGGTTCAACTGTAATAAAGGTTACGAATCAAATCAAATATTTTCGAATAAGAACTTTTTCAAAAACAACTATTTTCTATTTGATGAGAATTAAACAAGAATGCTTAAACAAACCACAACTGGGATTTTTTTTTCAACAGACATTTATGAAAAAGAAAAATGACACACATGTAATTGATAAAAAAACAGATGAAATAAAAAAACAGATGAAAGTAACACACCATTCAAGGAGTCAGTTACAGAACGTAAATGAAAGTACACAAGTAGAGGTGGGTCAGCAAGCCACAACACAGTCAGAGATCGTATCGCGGACGAACACAACCACATGAATGTAAACGAGCCACATATCGTCAATAGACGAGGTCGGCCGGAAATCCGTATCCAAATCCATACCACCTTGGCTACTGTAGTGACTGTAGGAAGGACTGTAGTGTGAGTGTGGTCCGTGGCATTTGTGCTCACGACGATGCGTGCACCGCTGCCAATCATAGTACTTCTCTTCATCAAATCTATCGCAGCGTTTGTGCCACGACCACTTCGCTAACTCCGCACTTCAGACATCATGGTGAGCAAAGGACAGATCACAATAATGTGTGCAAATAACTTTCGAGTGCTTCATAGAAAAAACAAAAAGGCACTTAGGTTGACATCTTGGGTTTGCCAAGCTCGAAACCATGCTGCGCAGTCCAAAAACAATACAGGGAACACAACTGCAAGTTGACACTAATCAGCACGTTCCGGATTATTCACAGTTTTCGAATATTCAAAGAACTCGAATACTTTGAACAGCGAAAGTGGGAAGCGAATTGAATTGAATAGCAAGCATTATTTGCGAAGTATTCAAAGTTTCGAATATTCGCACAACCCTTGGTCTTAAGAGCTTCTTTTCAAGTCAATGGTATCTTCACACCCCATAAATATATAGTATTCTGACAGTGGCAGTCACTGTAGATCTTATAAGTCTAATTAACAACTTATGAAGCATTTAAATGACAAATCAACATAATTTTGAGAAGAGTTTCTGAACAAAACTAACTTCCTGTGTGATTGTCTTGCCTCAGCCCTGTTTTTCATAAGTTCTTGTTCCTGTATATGCCGTCCCCATTGTACTGGATTTTGTAGGTGCTGCCGATCACCTAAATACGAAGTGTGCCCATCAACCCAGACAAGTTTACCCTCTTTGCTACTCACAGCACAATAAACAGAAGCCCTGTTTCCGGTTCCTGAAAACCATTTGTGGCCCTTCTTGATGAACGGCCACAGATGTTTTTTTTTCTGCCATTTCCTTTCTGGGTGGCATGTAGGCGCTAATTTAATAACATCGCCTTTGGTTTCGAGTCTCCCAGCATGGCCAGATGGCTCCACCAATGACAGAACTCAGGAAGCACCATTGGAAACATGTTTGCATGGCATAAACCCTCGCTTTCTTTGCTTTTTTCCTACTGAGGTCGACCCTGCATACTCCTAGGGGCCACTGTCACCATGGACAAGCCGGTTGCCTGAGAGCCAGTTTGGCTTGTTGCGTACAAGCGACCAGTATTAAGACGAAAAACTGGGTACCACAATCTGATGGTCATTTCTGTAGTCGACTACCGTAATATCCCGAGAGATGCCCACCCCCGAAAGATAACTCACCCCTATCTCTGGCTTGATTTGCTATTTTCTTTTGAACACCGAAAGATAGCCGAGTCCCAGTAATTGTAGTGTTGGGATCAATGAGGAGCTTGGCGTAGATGCGGCTAGTCAGCTTTGGTGGGATATGAGCAAACATTGCTGACTGGGAACTACAGTCATCTTAGCTTCAGCGTCCCTCACCGCGATAACAAGTTTGGCAAGAAAACATGACCTAAAAATAGCGTTTCTTCAATTTTTCCTAATTGTACATCAAAAGTTAACCCAATCCTTATTTTCACCCGATTTGCTCTTGATTTTAAATTGGCTATCTCTCAAGAAATTACGGTAGTTGATCCAGTGCAGCCAATCCTGACCAAAATCACTTCAACTGAGCTGGAAAACACTGCCTCTGTGACAGAGGCCAATTAAAAAATTTTGCCACCTAAGGCAGTCTTTGAAAGTGGTGCCCCTTGCCTCCTTGCACACGGTTAGTGGCGAGTGCATAAATTTATCTTGCAAAGAATCGGCACCACTCCAGCATCCTCTATATTTTATCACCTGCCTACTCTGTCTATACTAGTAAGTCAAATCCTGCCCCGCAAATAATACAGGAGGATGCTTAAAGGACCTCTGAAAAGAAAAAAAAAGAAGTTTTCTTTAAACAGTCTGGTTGGGACACACGTGCAAAGAAATTAATTTTATGCAAAAAGAAACTATTTTTTAGAGCAATATTGATCGCGCGACCGTTATTTAAAATTTTGCGCGCAAAGTTAATGACATCACGGAATGGTTATACACTCTTTCCACCTCAACGAGATGGATATACACTTTGTGCACCTCAGTGATGGCCAAGCCGATCCGACTCTCCTCCTTGCACCCGAAATGCCGAGAAAACAAGTGGAAAGGAGGTGACTACTAACTAAATCACGTCTCGCACCGTCAACATTGCTCTAAAATATATATTTTTTTTTTCTCGCATAATTTTAATTTTTTTGACATGTGTGTCCCAACCAGGTTGTTTAAAGGGATACTTCAACGAAATTTGAAATATTCCCGTCGCGTTCAAAAATAGGTTGAATATGATCTACAATATCCGTAAATGACAATCGCACGTTTGTATTTTGATCCTGGTGGCTGTATTTTTCGTTATAAACAGCCCACTCTGGCAAGCGCTCGGAGAAGGCCCAGCTTAGAGCGCGTGACATCCAATGCAATCGTGACATAGGTCGTCTCAAGACGAGCAAAGCTACGGCGAGGCTGACGTCGAGAGGATGGCCTAGTCGTTCCAGCCACCGAAGCGGCTGCTTTTGTACGAATTTTGAGTGACGGGTTAATCTTCTATAATCTTCTAGGGGGACAATAGCGACTTCTGCGACACACAAAAGGGATTCTCGGGAAGAGGGGAGTTCCTCCTTCCCCCCATCTCTCGTCGTGGCCGGAGACGAGACAACCTCCGTCACTAGCTGTCAAGGTTCCTAGACGAGCATTACAAACGAGGCGTTAGCAACATCCACCAGGTGCTCTTTGCTAATCATTTAATTCGTTTTAAAATTCCTTTTCGAGACTTTTTTAACAAGATATTGGTATGTTCCATGTGATACTGCTTTTTTGAACACATATAGACCAAAAAATGAGCGCCGAAATTTCGTTGTAGTATCCCTTTAAAGAAAACTTTTTTTCTGTCTTTCCAGGCACCCCTTTGCCTTAAGGGGGGACACTGGCCAGAGGTCGAACTTTTGAACTACTCAAGTGACCAGAATGAAAATTTCAGGCGAGATTTAGCTTCAGATGTAGGTGTACTGTGCGAACTTTCAGCTCCCTAGGACAAATTTACATACCTGCATAAGATAATGTGCCACTTTTCATTAAGAAATCTATGATATTCAAATGAAGCTAATAAGCATCACTTTGACTGCTTGATTATAAAGTGGGGGATATGGGACCTCGGGCTATCTAGTTTTAATAACTTAAAGGTAAATATTTCAGGAAGAGTTATTACCTCAAAATATGAGATGCATATCTGTCCTTTGTCAATTTTTGAAAACTTGGTTTTTTATCACTGAGGACTTAAACTTAAAACAAAATAAAGTAGATAGCCCGATTCCCCAGTAAATTTCAGTTCAGAAACATCTTGATTGTGGTATCCAAATACTTTTACCTTCCAACAAAAGATTCCTTCGTATGAATTTTGCAGCAAAAAGTGGAACTGAGAAAAATGCATTTAAACATTGAACTCCTTTACTTTGTTACTGCCTCACAATGTGTTGAAAATATTTTATATCAACGTAACTATTTGGTGTATGGTTATCAAATTTTGTGCAAGGGTGTATAATAAGTTTATAAAACTGAAAACCTTAAAATTGAAAAATAAATTTTTTCAAAAAAATTTAAAATTTAGGCCCATGTCCCCCCTTAAAGAGTGGAACGCGATAGCTAAACGCATAAACCCCAGCTCGTTCCAAGGCCCTGCATGCGCGTCTGGCTCGCAATCGAAGGGTCGTGGATTATTCCACCTCCACCTAAATTTCTTCAAATTGTTTTTCTTTAAGGCAAATGAATTACTTTATAGAGTGAAATCATTTGAGACATGCGGCGACCTTTAATTCGCATTACATGTTATGTTTTAATCCCTTTCATTCCACTCGTGACGTCACGTTTCACGTGAGCGACGTTGCGGGTTGTTTGAAATTTCTGCGCGAAGCCACGTGGCTGTGACGTCATGACTCTATCGACCAATCAGGATTTTCCCGTCCCACGCCACGGACACCGACTTCTCTGCGACACGAGCTCCTTAAAGCTATCGCTTTAAAAAGCATAAGGCTTCTTGTGCACCAATGCCACCATTTTGTCCAATGAATGTGACCATCTCTTTCCGCGCCGAGTCGACAGAGGGAGGGCCACTCGATTTTAGTTTATTTTTCACGCAGAAGTCACACCATGAAACAAGACATTAAGAAGCATTCTGCACATCAACATATGACTCCAAAACATTTTCCACCAAAGTTTACAATTGTCTCATGGTCCCAAGATACACCGCCACTGACATGCACTCACTGACTACATGCTGGGCCGTAAACATATATTGAAATAACACTAGGAGAAAGAAAAGAAAAAAAAGAAACCAAAAAGAAAAGGAGGTTAGGAAGTCTTCTAGGATATCTGTTGAAGTTAGTATGCAGGAAGTTTATCAGAAATTCAGTGAAAGTGCAAGGTACCTCTTTAGGCATTCTAGCAGGATTTGGTATGGCGAAAGCTGTCCAGTTTTGGCGCACAGCTCGTTGACACGTGGGTCCTCCACTTTGATCTCGTCAAAGAACTGCAAGGGCAAGGAAAGGGCACAGCCACTATTGAAGCTGGGGGACAATTGAAAAATAAACTCTGTGGAGCCTCTACTTCAAAGGCACTGAATACATAGAAAACTTCAACCAGCAATCGTTTGTGCTGCTGTTACTTGGTCCCTTCAGAGTTTCAAATAGGAGTGCAACCATTTCAAAGGTGTGCTCAATAGTCTGGAAAGCAAGCTTCTCTTACAGTCACAGACAGCCTAAGAAATACAGGTTGTCAGTGACACCCTGTATTCCTTAGGCTGTCAGGAATACAGGAGTACATTGTGTCTGTCTTAGCATATACGGTCCCCCCTGAATCAGTGCAAAATTTACGCAAAGCATGAAAACCTCACTTACTGCGACGTCTTGAAAGAAGTCTTCACTCTTCTCGCTCTTCACATTTGTATCTTTCATTTGGGGGATCAAGATCTCAAGGGTTGCCCTTGCTGTAATGGAAGAACATGGTAAGTGCGGACCTTTCGCCCTTACCCCACATCGTGTCCAAAAAAAAATGACCATAGCATGTCACTGTCTGGCTCGGCAAGGAACAGACACCCGTTACCTGCTTCAGACTTTGCCTGCTTTTTACTGCTGCCGAACCCGGAGCCGTACTCGATGCTATTGATGACGACCGTAGCTCCGTAAGGCATGCTGGAACTTTCTAGAAGTGTGACATACAAACAGCAACATATAAAACTCTGCAAAATGTTTTTTGGAGGCAGACTAAGCCACAATTTTTATTGAGGTATGACTAATGATACCAGCACTGTTTCTTGTCCTGGTTTCACTTTATGAGACAAACCTGTGGTGAACATGCAAACTCTTAGGACGTCATGGATACATACTCAATCTGTTTGACTGTGAAATAAAGAGGCTGTCACTCTGGAGTTGTATTCACGGTTAACATGGCCTTTAAATATTAATGGTCTCAACAAATATAGGGTCAGTAGCCTTTTGACTATACAGTGCAATCCACTTAAAAATGATAATGAAAGAAACCCCGAAATTCAACCATTATAACCAATTATCAATGTATCTGGACTAGAAACCAATCATTGCTAGTTTAGAAACTCTTGAAACTAATTGTTATAAGCAGTACATCGTTATAAGTGGATTGCAATGTGAATGGTCCAAGTGTTTGCTTTTTCTCTTAGATACTTTAAAGCTGCATGTGTTTAGGTTATCTAAAAGCACCATTGGTTACTGAGGAATCTTTAGTGCAAATGGAAGAAACTGAAAGAAAAATGGGGTGAAAATATGCTTCCAACTTCCAAGCATCCAAGAACACTGCTTGACTATTGTTTTTCTGGAGCAAAACATTTGCAACAAAAACCAGCATCAGCTATTCTTTCAGTGTGCTTACTGTGGACTATTGCAGTAGTTGAGAGCATTTCTCTTACATCACATAAATGACCTGACTATACATGTTTCGTAATTAGTATTTGAGAAAAGCTGATCCAAGGTTTTTCAATATTTACTTAATATATATAGGATAACTAGAGGTGTGAAATATTCTAAAGTTTGAGGTATTTGTGAAAAATGTTTTGCTATTCAATATGCAACACACTTTTACTTTCAAAGTGATCATGGTTTTTTTAATATTAGAAAATTGAGAATGATGTCCTCAGAATGTGCAGGTCTCTCATGTCAAGCTTCACTGCTTTGCACCAATGTGCTAGGAGAAACAGCTGAAGTGCCGGAGCATCTCAGCTGGCAAGACAGTCTCGCAAATTTTGCTCACGGTCGTAGGTTAGGTTTCTTTGGCAATAATTAGGACAGTGCCAGAAAAGAAAACTTCAAGCTATATTAAAAAACACAAGGAAGTCACTGCTTTGCTTGTCACACTACTATTTTACGTTTCACCCTACTCATCTTATCAGGGCCTTTTTTTTCCTAATACAAGAATATGAAATGTTTCTCATGTAACAGAACATTTTCCTTTTATAGGTACATATAAAAAAAACTTACAGCCATGATTTGTTTAAGTGTGCCTGCTCAGTTGACAATTAAGATATACATATTCAAAAATATTCTAACTTAATGTGCAGTCAAATTTTGATATTTATATTGAGTCTGCATCAATTTGATGCTCACACACCTCCAGCAATGACACATTCAGATTTATTGAGCATCCCAGAAAGTATAATACTGGTCCAATCTTATTCACATAACTTTGAATGATTACAAGAAAAGCTTAGCACAAAGCATTGGCCCAGCAGGAAGGTGTACATACCCAGCTCCTTGAATGTGTATTGAGGTTGCGTTCTCATGGCGTGTTGCACATACTCATGTAAAATGCAGACATTTGATTTTCCACTGGGATTCATGATGAACTCTGGAAACATGAAAACAAATAACTCCAATTTACCACGTTAAAAAATTATCGCCGATGGTGAATCTGCTGGTTGTGTGTTGTAGAACCCAGCTTTTTTTCCTAATTATATGAAATCACTGGGATCAGAGAATATGACACACATGTGGCTACGATGTGCAAGAGGTTGTGTGACAAGATTGAAAGGTGAATAAGATCAAAATTTGTGGCTGCAAAGCATCAAAGTTAAGCTCGCTAATCCCGGTCAGACTTTGCCAATTCCTAATTAGGCATACCTTGCAGCAAGCAGTTTCAGCTTGAGCAATTGAAGCCATGAAAGCTATTTCAATGACCCCATAAAGTATACCAACTTTGGATCTGCACCACATCTCAATGAGGAATATGCATGCACAGTATATAACATGTCAGCAGAACAAACAATGAATATGAAGGGTTCTTCAAACTGAGCATATTGGGCTTGAATGTGGCTTAACAAGAATGCGACCTTCAATGGGGTGTCGCCAGGGTCAGTGAATGACAAGTAACCAATAGTTTAGCAAATTAAAAAAATATACACATATATATTTAACTGTTGTAGAGTTGCCCAATTTTTTAATAATATCACGCGAGTGTCGATTGCCGGGAAAGCCAGCACTGTGCCGCAGAGAAATGCAGCGTCACGGGAGAGATTTGGCGCGTGCGCACAAAGCTCTCTCCGGTCCGAGCGTCGTCTGTTAGGCTCATCTGTTGACCGCACTCAGCCTTTCTTCCTTATCTGCTGGCATAGCTGACCGCCTTTAAGCAAAGATCTGAAGAGCGCTTGCTTGCGTGATACCGTGATACTGCTCAGGCGTGAAAGAAACCGCGCGTCATCTCATTTATTTAGTTTTCTTTTTATTCTTTTATTTTTTTGTTTGCGTTTACTTTGTCAGCACAAAAAAAGAAAAATACGATGACGCAACAAGCTAAATGCAACAATGCATTAAACTATATACCGCAGCCAATGCTACGAGCCATCAAAACCAATCCAGTGCTGTCACCCTGTCACGTGACATCGCGCTTCCACATGCAGTTGTGCCCATCAGGAAGGCCACGTGACGCATTCTTAGCGATGAACTGGCCAAGATGGCTCGTAGCGTCGGCTGCGGTAAATCGGCGCAACGCACTCCTTTGCTACAAAGAAGGGGCTGTGTGCGATCAGCGGAATAGCCTAGCAGACGAAGCTCCCCGGAAAGGGCTTTGTGCGCACGCGCTTAATCTCTCCCGTGACGCTGCATTTCTCCACGGCACGGCACTGGACGTCCCGGCGGTCGACGCTCGCGTGATATTATTAAAAAATTGGGCGACTGTACAGTAGATTTTGGCATTAAACCTCTAAAACAACAATGGGATGCGTTCGGGGGATCACCTCTCAGACAGAAAACGCAATGAGCCATAAATTTGTGTCATTCAACTCTTGTGTGTTGCAATACATAAGAGTGTCAGATATATTAAAGGAGCTGTGCAACGATTTTAACGTTGAAAGAATTGTCATCTTCTACTTTTGACATTGCTCATCTTGTCACAAAGGACAGAAAACAAACCCCCTTCCTTCAAAATGAGGCAATTCCGCCACGTAATCGCGAGGCAAAAATTAGAATATTCCTTGACCTGCTGCAGCCGCGAGCGGTGGCCATGAGAAACACGCGGCATGATGTCAATGGGGGTCTTGTAGAAAGATAGCAAGTTGTGCGAATACCTGCTTGATAAAAGATAACTTTTCTATAAATCCTGTAGTTCCAACATAAATATTAAAGCGTCAAAAACCTGGTATCTTTGACAAAACTCTTATTATACGGAGTTTTAGTGGCGCCATCTATACTAGGTCCACAAAACCGTCAGCTCTATCTGCTACCGCGAACAGTCGCCAGAAGCCGGAGGGGGACGGGGACAGAGCCGGACGGGGATGGCGGGCCCGGATGAGACGTTCCTCCTTTCACCGTACTGTTCGTGCTGCGCCAGCAAGTGGTCACGCGGTTGCGAGCGGATGAGTTCTCGCTGTTCACTGATGCCTCTAAAGAGAGAGTTTCACCGGAACCCCGCACAACCCCCATTGACGTCACAGCGCACGTGACTCGGAAGATGGTGAAGGAGTTGAGAAGTGCCGAAAACCTCAATCTTTGTCCATTTTTAAAATAAAAATGGGCATGATGGAAAAAGCGGTTTTTTGTTCTTTACTTCAGAAAGGTCGAGACACCAACTACCAAATTATTTAAGCAAAGCACAAAAATTGTTGCACAGCTCCTTTAAGAAAGCGTATGTCGCCTTGCAGAACTGACAAGCCCATGGTGTTACCTTATATCAAAGCGAGCCAGCCGGTGAGAATTAAAAGTATACGACTAAACTTACATAGTTCCATTCGTTCAACACTACCATTAAACGGAGCTATGCTGAGAAAATTTTGAGAGAATGAAAAACTGCGGAAAGCCACGTATGTAGAATAACTTGTTCACTCGATCATGCTGACATAGACGATTGAGCGCCGAACACAGTCCCGCACTCTGCACAGGTGCGCGGGACACTGGCACAAACCTTACTCCGTGTGTGATTTGCGCTAGTTTTGTCATTGTGCACCACAGATGTTAGCCAAGGTGAGACCAAGCGAACAGGCGTGCCCCACAGGCACTACGTTATATGGCTCTTGTGCAATGCTTGACATTAAGGAAAGAAACTACCCAGAAAAAAAAAAAAAAAAAATTACTGCAAAAAAAGTTGATATTGAAAAATTCCATATTTACATCATCAGAGTATTCATCAGAGTATTCACAGAAAGTTTCATTTGTTTACACAGCACTTTTTTTTTTTTTTTTATAAATTATTTTTGGTTGACTGAGGATAAAGAAAAGATAGAGGTTCAAGCACTTCGAACACGTTTTGCTCCGTTCCGTTTTTTGGCAAAAATTTAACTTTAGGAAAACCATTGTTTGGTAACGGGACAAAATAAGGGGCTCACTTATTGTTTTTCTGAAGTGCAATTTAATGGGCAATGCAGCTGTGGCATTGTTTTTTACTTTGTGGATGTCTTTTATAAAAGATGTTAAGATTTTGTCAACCATGTTTTACATGGTTGACATTCCCATGTTGACATGCCCATGTTTGACAAGTCAAACACGGGCATGTTTGCAGACGACCGAGTTAGCAACGCTATTCACTTGTGGTGCCACCTCTCGATTGGCACAGCGAGCAGACAACGCACTCTGTCGTCTGCTTGTCGTGCCTATCAGAAAAGGCACCACAAGTTAGTAGCGTCACTAACTCCGCCGTCTGCAAACGCGCCCATGCTTGACTTCGACAAGTTTGTTGTTGTCATTTTTTACAGAAAAAGAACTATGGTACGCCTTGAAGTTTCACATGCATACCTGCCAAGTTTGGAGAAACCAAATTCAGGAGAATCGGGAAGAGAAGGGGGGGGGGGGCATTTTTTTAAAAAGAAATGCTGACAACAAATTTACATGAAGACAAGTTCATTACATTTGTATTGCACTGCTATTGCTAGCGAGATACAGCTGGGCCTTGCTCTCATTGCAGCTATTTGTTGTGACGGCAAAAACTCATTGTTTAATTACGGGAAAGAGAGGGGGGGGGGATTTGCATTTTCCGCAAATTTTTCTGTCACTCGTACAAATTGGTTCAAATTCGGGAGAGTCCGCGTAATACGGGAGATTTGGCAGGTGTGCACACGGTAAAACTGACCTTCTCAGTGCACATTTGGTGGGTGTTGTAGCTTTTAAAGTGCAGGTGCCAATTTTTCCGGCTAGTTATACAGCGGAAGGTTCACTTGATACGCCCTATATGAGTTTTTACTACAAGCCAAGCTTACAGGTGCAAACAAGGACTGACCTCTTTTGGAGTGGCCTCCCGTGATCTGGCTGGTGTCCGACGTTGGGGGCAGTGAACACATGATAAGCTTGGTGCCTTCGGGCTGAACAGAACACAATAGCGTTAGACTCTAGGGACTTTGCTTGCTGGGCAGATGTATTAAAACACTCCTTGGTGCATTTGTAAGGGTTGTGTTTCTTGTTTCCACTCCTTAACTCTGTTTTCTCCCCTAGTAAATGATCCCAGCCCCTGAATTAAAGAGGCAAGGAAAGGACTATCCCTATGCAAAAGGTAGTTGAACCTTGCTAAGAGCATTAAGAAGAACTCCTGCATAACAGGGACAAGTTAGGTACTATATCCACCTAATCAATTTTCAGTAGGGGCCTCACAAGAGAAATCCCTGATAAAAAAAACTGGAAGGGTATGCATAGTAATAGATTACAACTACCATAACACCAGAAACTTAGATTTCACCTATCACAGAAATCTTCTGATGCTTTAGATAAATGCAAAAAATTGTGAAGTCAAAACCGACTTACAAGCATGGGACGCTGCATCTGCTTGAGTTTTTTCTTGTGCTTTCGACGGCCAGCCCAAGTTCTGAATGAAGTTTCTCAAGTTAAAGTGAATTAAAGCGACAAAACCAATGCATTATACGCTTTAGGTAGCACTGAACCACCGCCAACAATGATCTCAAACTCTATTCCTGCACTCCACCTCAAACATAGTGGAAAGCCATGCAAAACACAAGCATTTGGGCGAGGAGCTTTAAAGAATATGTTTTTTAGTTGCACGAATTCTTGGAGAACTAAACTTTCCTAAAAATCTATGAGTTTGCACGCTCTCACTCTGACACAATTTGTGAGGTGGAAGCCTTTTAACACGAAATTAATAACTAATACAGCCCAAATACAAAAAACACAATGCAACTTTTTGAAGCAGTTCTTCACTAAACTGGAATCATGTCTTGTCGACAAACTTACTTGAACTTCTTCAGCTGAATGGTCTGAAAGTCAAAGAGTCCCTGGCAATACTCTCTGACTGCCATGAAATCTAAAAAACGAGATAAAAACCCTAGGGATCAGATTTGGCTTATGATTTGAGAGCATGTAAAGGGGCCGTGCAAAGTACAGCACATACCTAGGGAGCGTTCCTTCTGACTTTCCTTCACACTTTCCACCTTGGCAGCGGGGACGCGGGCCGCTAGCTCAGCTGGCTTGTCGGACGAGACTGCAAAAGTAAGTTAAATCGTCAAGAGTTTCGAAAAAAAGAAAAAGAGCCAGGATGTGTAATTGACACGCTCTTATTCTACAAATATGTATCAAAATTTTACAAGAAGCTGCTCTAATTGCAGATCCCAAATTCATGCTACCAAAGCAAATATGAATCAAAACCATAATTTTTGCAGCTTCGCAGTGAGCTGGGTGGTCTTCTGCATTGGACAACTTTATCCTAGATAAAATATTTTCTTACCCGACAAGATAACAAGCAAGAGTATTTTTTGAGAGTGCTAAATCACCATATCCACATCTCAAATGTGTCTGTGTATTTAGAAAGAAAGAGATGTCACTGTTCTGGGGTGTCAGTCATGGTACATCTGCAGGCTGCTGATATTCAGGAATTCCAAATCGAGGCCCAGAGGCCAACTCCTTGTGTATCAAAGTATTGAACTAAAAAAGAATGTGGACCACTCTTTTAGCTGCATTATATTAACACAATATGAAAAACAAAAATAAGAATCTACATGAGAAGAGGCACAAGTTTCAATAAGTGCTAGGTGGCTTGCAGAGATGTGTTCCACATTCTACATCAGAAAAGTGATGTCTGTGACTACACTCTGCAGGTCTTGTATGAGGCATGGAAAATTATCTGCAACAGGTTCATCAATGAACTGCTGTACAATAACCCAAAAAGAAAATTGTTCCAGATATGCAGCTAACACTACAGGAAAATGTTTGAAGCAATACACTCACTGATCTGTTTTTGCAACTCAGTTCTGGTAAATGTTCAATATTGCAATTCTGCAGTTCGGTTCAACCTGCTTTTTCTGGAGTGCCCCAGGGCTCATTACTCGGACCGTTGCTCTTTTTGGTTTCTATCAATGACCTACGAGTTGATAAGCCCTCGATACAGTGCTGTTTTTTTGCTGATAATTATGTATTGTTTTCAAGTATATCTTGTGTATCTAACCAAAAATGCTTAGAGGAGAGCATTCAAATGATTTCATTGTGGTGTCAGATATAGCAAATGGATCTTAATGCCAAGAAATGTGTGCAGATGTCAGTTACACTGAAGAAGGTGCCATCTTTTTTTTTCTTATTCTATTCAACCAAATGCCTTAGAAGTAGTTAATGAATGCAAGTATCTGGGTATTACTATCACACCCAACTTAAGCTGGGCTAGTCATATTGAGCAGATTATCACAAAAGCGTCAAGTAAATTGTGGCCGCTACGTAGGAAAATGTGTCACTGTACTCCTGCGACGAAGCTGACGGCCTATAAATCGCTCATTCTTCCTTTGCTAGAATATGCTGACGTTGTATGGGACCCGCACTCGCAATCACTCATTGACCAATTGGAAGGCCTTAAAAAAATTGCTTAGGTTTATTTACAACTCATACGGCAAAGATTCACACATGTCACCACTGTACACTGCCTCCGGAGTGTCTATATTATCATGTCGAAGGAAAGTAAAGCGTTTGAAATTTTTGCATAATATATAACTCATAATAAAACTGGTTTAAATTTTGATGATTATTTGCAGTATAACGCGAGTTGTGATACAAGGCAGAAGCACGAGAATTTGCTCCTTGAGTTTCGCCGTAAAAAAGATGTTTTTAAATACTCCTTTTTTCCTCATTCTGTTTGTGAGTGGAATAAGTTGCCACCAAGCGTGACGGCGATTGCTTCTACCGCTTTATTTGCGAGTGCAGTTGATGAATTTTTTTGTGTCACCAATGACAAAGCTACTTGTTAATTGTTGTTGTGTTTATTCGGCTCATTGATGGTTTCTGATGTCTCATCATGCCTTGGCCCTCAAAAGTTGGCTGGCAGTATTTCTAAATAAATACAGTTTAACTAATGCCAGAAATCAATGGATATGTTTCAGTGCAGGTTCGGTTTCAACACTACGACTAAAATCAGTGGCAGAAGCTGCATCGAGTGTTTCTGAAAATTCTTGAACCTAGAACCCCACAGCAAACTGAGGTTCAGCAGAAAAGTACTAAGAAGAGTTTGCATGAAGGAAGGAGTACCAACTTGGAGTGGTGGAACTGACAAGTGGTGATTTGGAGCAGCTCTTGCAGCAGAGAACGGGTTTTGGAGCAGAGATTTCCACATTTAAAGCAGAAAATTTGGAGCTTTCATGTCAGAAAATTTTATAAAATCTCTTTGAAAGTTAGCCTTTGGAAAAAACTAAAGTTGCCGGAGTGTTGGGAGATTATTTAAAGTGTCGTACCTACAGGGGACCTGGCTGCTACAGATATTTATTTATTTATTGAACAATCATATGCGGGCAATTTCCAGATGTTTCAATGAACCTATTAAGAGTACCGATGCAGTCTTCGGTCTGTGTTTGATGTAAAAAGATGCTTTGGGCTTCTTTGTAGGGTTTGCATCACGGTGATGTAACTGTCGTGAGTTCGACATCAAATGGACACTTTCGTGTTGAACGTGTCCCATGTTGCTCTCTGCTTTGTAGCAGTTACGTATGTGCAAATAATGAATTTTGGGTTCGAAGCAAATTCAAAGTGCATAGTGGTTTTGGCCGAATATATTTTAATAAATATTGAATAGTTGCTGCGCCTTTCTCCACACCCTTCACTACTGTTACACCATGCTTAAACAAAAATTCAGCTGAACTTGCGAACATTGTTCCCAAGCTTCTAATCACCTACTTATGTTTTTTTCATAGCATATATTACAGCGATTCGCCTTTCAAATCAGTTTATTGCCGCCCTGCCAGTTTTACATCGCCAAGACTAGATCATTGTCGGAAAGTAGAACCATTCTTGAGTCGCACTAACACTTTCCTTTTCTCCCCCTTATTACTTTGTATCCGAGACTGGAATGCATTACCTGATCATATTGCTACTGACAGAAATCCTATTTCATTTCGAGATCAGTGTTCACTATTGTATAATTATTCACCTTGATTATGTTTCTGTATAATAGCTTTTGTGCTTTGTTCGTGCTTTATTCTTAATTTATTTTGATTTGTTCGACGACATTGGGTGTATCCGCGATCACATTTCTTGTTTCTGTGATTTGCTATTCTGTTTCTCTTTTTTTTTTTTTAACTTTATTTGTTTTTGAATCTCCCCTCATGTAATGCGTCCATCGGACGCCCTTGAGGTGAATAAAATGAATGAATGAATGAATGAGCTCTGTTAAATTTAAACTAGCTATATTTATAGACTGTGGCCTCTGAAAGTCCAATACTTACATTGGGATGGCAAGTAAACAACATATTTAAATAAAATTAAACCCATAAAGGACTCCAGCCGTACCTAACTGAGGGGATTTATAAATATTCTTACTATATGCAAATATTTTCTTTAATTTTGAAAAAAAAAAAAAAAAATTGAACACAGGTTGTTAGAACATTGCTGCTTAACATATACCTTCGCATAACAGCCACAGTTAAATTTTGAAAATTTTACTGCAATGTAAATACTAACAATCACAATGTTTCCTTTCACTTTTTAAATACAATACGCGTGCGCGTGACCTGTACCACTCTGGAGGTGTGTATTTCGTTTAAGGGCGTGGCTGCGCTGCGACAAAATGAGTTGCGAGATTGCGGTGTCAGCTTCGCAGGTATTGCTTCTCCGCAGTACACTGGTGCCTAAAGAGAAGCGCACTCAAAGGGGCTAACCCGCCGCGATCAACACTTGGAAAAGTATGAACATCATAGCTTATTATGAAGTGAACATCAAACAGCGTATTCTTTGAATCTACTATTCGAAAATTTTAATATTCATGCCAACCCTACTTTCTTCATTTTCAGTGGCATCGCCAACAATGCCAAGTGCCAGACATTTTCAGTGCTTTTCGAGAACAGCTCCCTTTTGGTGCAGACATGGTGCAAATTGTGCAGAAATACAGCCTTTGGAACAGCACATGTTGTTTGTTCTGGCGCAGTTTGGCGCAAATGGCCCAGCAGTTCTACCACTGAACTTGAGAATGAAAGGCAAAAAGTTACAGGAGAAAAGACAGTCCGAACTAGACCAAACAAAGTTTGTAGCCAAGAGCAAAACCTCAAGAGAATGGTTTACCCTCAGCCCCTTCTGGAATGCCATTAGCAATGGGGCAGTTCTCCTCCTTCTCCTTCTCCCTTCTATAGTGTAGGCAGGGGATGGCGGAGATGGGGACCTCGTGTTTCTGACAGGAGAGACAACATTTCAATCAACTTCGCACAAACCAGCATAGGCATACAACACACTATTGGCTTAAGACTTGAAGGACTAGAAGCAAGATAAGTATATCCCTCCTCAAAGAAACCAATTTCAAAATCACTGCAATGTAACTGAACTAAATGCACAAGCATATGAATCAAATCTAACATGTTTACTTTCTTAGATGAGCTTTCTGCTTGCAGTGGTCAATTTCAAGATATCTGCCCGCCTTGCTGAGCATTAATTAGATGGGGGTAAGGAACGCTTAAGGGCTAAACAGAAAAGAGAAAATCTAACCAGTTTGAGACAACACAATCATTAGTGCTAAATGCACAAAATAGTGATGAACCACACATTCAACGGTGGTGGAAAGTAGCATGCACAGCTGCTTCGATTCACTTGGAGGATTTGGTGTAGTCAGTCACGACTCTCACATGTGCACACAAATAATGAAACTCGCTTTCACTTCATTTGAACGTCCCAGAAGCACCCCCCAAATGCTTTAATATCCCATCAATAAACCAGATGAGTTAGCAACAGAGGTATGGTGTAGGGGATAACTGGACACAACTTACCCTGGTGCTTCCAGGGCCAAGAAAGTAAGGCTTGGACAGAGTACAAACTCTCGATTGTTTGTGCAAATATACAGGCATTCCGCTGTTGTGGGTGACTTGAATCCAACCCTCGGGAAGTACGTCAAAATGATCATGGCCGCGAACTGGAAGGAAATGAAAAGGTGTACATTCACAGAATTTTTTAAAAGCGAGTCTTATGATAGTTTTTTAAGTTCAAAGGTCACTGAAATTTATGGTCAATTTCATTTAGTATGATAAGATGCTCCCAAAAAACGATCAACATCTCTCTAAGATATTACTTTATGATATTAGTTGTGCTCCTCAGAATAAAGAGGCACTCCTTTTCTTGAATTCAAGATATGGCTTGTCCACAGTAGATGGACAAACCGCGGCTCTTGTGATTTAGGAACAGTGAGGAACAAAATGTTCCTTAAGCACTGGAAATGTTCAAATGAGTGAAAGACTGGAGACGAGATAAAGTGAAGCTGAAGCAAACGCAATTTCTTTCCCTAAAAATGTAATCTGCATCGGGTGAATAAAAAAATGTGAAAAGGGAATGTCACGCTTACACAGAACGCCATGCGTGATGCATTATTTCATTCAAATGTTTTCCGGATGTTGCAGTAGATTCTTTTTAGAAGTGTGCGCCATCTAGTAACTGCTGCGCCAATTATGCAAGTCCAACATTGTTTGGGCACGCATTCCGAGCATGTATTGGACATGAGGACTGCGTGAGCGTTAGGTGTGAACTTGTTTCAGCTCGTATCGAGAACGACTGCGCGTCAGCGTTCGGCGAAGAATCGGATCCAATCATATGCTTCGTGCCCAAAAAATGGCAACCGCCTATGTTGCTTCATGGGATTTTGAAAAGGGTTTTTTCATCAAGACATCCTGAATATTGAAGCAACTGACTCCCTGCAGCATGCTGAGTGTGAAATGATATGCAAGATTTTAAAAGCGTTTATCGTACATGTTGAAATAAAGTAAGTCCGTCCTCCAATGCATGCAATAAGAAAGGCCCGAGGCCATTTTCAGACTGAGCAATTTTCTCCGGAATTTCGGGGGCGCTTGCGAATTGTCGGTTGCTGCGACACAAATTGCCGGGGTTGATCCAGATCATGAGTAACGACTTGATTGCTACAATTTGGGAACATATGAGAGGGTGGCAACCAATCAGGCATGCAATATTTTGATTTGACCCCTGTGGTGGTGGTGATAACTTTGTTCTGCAGCCATCGTGCTTGCAAACTAATGGTTCGGAGTAAGTTAGTGTATGTAGAGCTGGTATTTAAAAACATGGACATGTTATTACTGCACAAGTATATGTCTATATGCTGCAAGTAAATGATACTTTTATTGCTGATGGAGACAATAAAACATAGTGCATCACTGATTCAGTGGTTGCTGCATCTGAATGCGGAAAAACCACAGTTGCAGCTGTTGCAATGTCAAGACGGGGAAAAGTTGCTATATGTGAAGCCGACCACAGCAAGGGTGCACAACCTCTGGCCTGCATGTCACAATTGGCCCACAAGAAGTCCTTACGTGGCTTGTGGTTGTTACCGCAGGAAGATGTTGCTGTTTGTAGCGGAGTGTATTCTTCACTGTTTTTAACGAGATGCAAAAACTAAATAATTTTATTTTTATTTTAGTAATTACTCCGGTGCTTCGAGACCCCTCAGCCTCAATCGTGCCAGAAGCAGCTCCCCATAAGTCTCTACGACCAAAGCTGGACAAAAATTCACTGCAGAAATAAAAAAAAATTCTCAAGCTAAAAAAAAGAAAAACAAATTTTTTGCATGGCCACTTTTTACTGGAGGTTATGACCTCGAGTGGATGTTTCTTGTACCAGCGTGAAACAAAAAAATTACGAAGATACTAATTAAATTTTTTTTTAAGAGTAATGTAAAGCTTTGTTTATGAAACATTTAGCCACAGATGATGCCACAGGTAGAAAAGATATAGTGCCCCATCCAAATTAAGCCATAAAAAAAAAAAGAAGTTTAAATGGTTGTTTTGTCATATAATACTGTGTTCTTACTAGTGGCTCACAACCATGCCACGGTGAGCTACCAAAGATTTGGCACTTAAACCATAATGGTTGTGTACTCTTGGCTTATAGCGAACCCATCAAGATGCAATTTTATTTCTCTAATAAAAGTGTTAGCAGTGAAGGTGACACGAAAAGGTGATGTTAAGCGAAAAAACTTAGTATGTATTTTGGGATCTGACGGTGCAAACGTCTTCGTGCATGAAGACTCTGAAAGAAAGCCCTACCAAAACTAGCAGTCCAGCAGGAGTGGAATGTAACACCATAGCTTCAACCCTGCCACTTTCCTTCTCCTCCACAACACATGCTTGTTCTTTTCCCCCTCCTGCCTACCTTGGCCCCATACGTGCAAGCGTGCTTGTTCAGCAGCCTATATGCTTGTGTTAACCTCAAGAACCGCAGTAAAAAAGCCCAGCTCCTCGCGGAATGTTGCTACTTTTTTCTTTCATGCGGTCAATTAAGATATACTATCTGGGTTCATCCTAAATTAGCTCTATGTCATTGTATCAAGACATACACGCTTCAAGTGCCAAAAGCATCTTTTCATTCTTAAGGTCTATTCACACGATGCATCTTGTTGGTGGATCTTGTGTCGCAAAACTAGGTTTCAGGAAACAGATTCCCCGTCTGAACGCGTCCGAAAAGGAGGCGTGCCTCCGAAAAAAGTGGCGCGTGTTCCTCGCTTCTAGAGCAAATTTTCGCTGAAACCTCACCGACGCCCGTCAATCACCCGAAGGAGAAACGCGGACGCTGCCAATGGCCGCTCTACTTCGTTCCGACGTCTGACCTTCGAGGAGCGAGCTTTTGGAGGAGTCTGACTTTTGGCCGATTCCGTATGTGAGCCAAAGCCGAAAAAAGAAAAACAAACAAGGCGAGTGACCAGCGGAGAAGCGGTGCGTACGGACGTTGAGTCCTGGTCCTACTCGGTTGCAGGCGTGTGAACGGCGCTTTAGAAGTATGGGTTGGTGGCACGGTGCAGATTCATCAACAGTCGCGACGAGCGCAAGCACCGCATATAAACGTGATGGCTGGGGATAAATTTCTTTTAGCGATGCAAAAATGTCCAAAATGCTTCGAGATCATCCACCTGTTCTTTGACAATCGCCGTCTTTCCTGGGTTTGGCAGGACTAGTAAACCCAGTGAGCCGAATCTGATTAAGTTTATTGAGTGGCATTAATAAAACAGACTGTCTCTTCACACTGTGCGTACTTCATATCAATTTGATACGAAAAGCTGGATATTCCCGGTGCAGATGACAAGGTTTGGCAAAATTCTCGTGAGTCAATACGTCACAGGTTTCGCACGTCATGCTCTACGTGTGAACAAGCCGATTTCGCGAAATCTCGGTTTCGTTAAACTGTGGCGCGTTGAAAAGATGCATCGTGTGAATAAGCCTTTAGACACAGAGTGGGTCAGAGTGCTGCATCAGCCAGCATTGATTGCTGGAGAAGACTGCTACTGCTCTAACAGTAACTCCGACCACCGTCACATTTGTGTATACGAGATCGCTGCTATCGGCCATTGGCCCTCGTAAGCTGGAGTTCATGTGGACACCGCCATCGCCCGCCGCGCCAGAAGACACACGAAAAGAAACGAGGCGCGGCCGGGCGTACCTCTGAGGATGACTTTCTCCTTGACCTCGTGCGCGATGTCTTCGTCCTCGTCCACGTCCAGCTTGCGCGTGTACAGCCCAGCCTCCAGCATCGCCTCGATCTCGTCGTCTGAAATATCGCTCTCACTGCCTTCGCCATACCCGTTGTTGGCGTCGTCCTCGTCCTCGTCGTCTTCGTCGCCCTGCCCCGCGCCCACTTCGTCCAAGATGTCGAAGCTGAGCACGGGCAGACCCTGATCGCCCGGGCCGCAGACGTCCCCGCCGACGGTGAAGCCGTCGCCTTCATCGGCCTCGCCAAAATCGTCCTCAAGCAGGTCGTTCTTGAAGTCATCGTCGATATCCGCTGACGTGCGGGCGGAAGGGTCGTCTAAACGAGCCAGCTTGGCGACTACGGGCGATGGGTTCCGGTCGTCGCCCGGGCTGCAGCACCGCTTGAGTGGCTGCGGTGCGTCGTCGGTGGTCGCTTTAATCCCAGCGCTCGCACCTTCGCCATGCTCAAAGTCCAACCCGTTCTCGATCATGGAATTGGACATTTGCATGGACAGGGGTGAGGCTGAGTTCTCGTCGGAGCCCAGCGAAGGGGCCGTGGGAGAGTCACCGTCCATTGTGTTAACGAGGGAGACGGCGATGGGTAACAGGCACTGCCAGATGCGCTGGTAAAGAAGGGGCTGCTTAGTACGTGACCACTCCTTCTTTATGAGGACATCTGCAGTGCTGTTCGCACGAGTTACAACGCCTAAAAGAGCTAAGCGCGGGAACGAACCAGCCACGGTCAGAAGCGGGATGAGCTCGGGCGGAGCTGCGCGATCGGTCCCAGGCCGTTGGAGGAGCTCCACTTTCGGCACATGGCTGCCGAGGTTGCGCTCCGCGACGGGCAGCCGACACGGGATGTCCGCTGGAATCAAATCGGAGTCGAATAGATATTGCACGCCACAGAATAGGCTAACAAATACACCATGATGCGAATGAGACGGTGAAGGACAGGGTTAAAAGCACGCAACAGAAAAATGCCCAGGGATCCGCAATGCCATAGTTGCCTGGTTATTCGTCCAATTTGCAATGCTGCCGTTTATTCTAGTTTGACTTTGAATGATCATATCGCAAAAATTAATATGCGTTTGTACCGTTGGTTTGTACGGTTTGTACCCATTCTTTTTAAATCAACAATTTATAATTAGTTCAAATCTAAGATATATTTTAAGCCAATCCAATCCGGTAGTCCAATCGATCTCCGAGCTTTCTGCTGCGCGTAGAGCTGCGGTTCTCAATTTGCATCGCCGATCGAAAGTACGTGAAAGCTTGTCATCTTCTGTTTTTAGTTTATTTCTGTTGAGTTCTGTTGAGATGTTGAACTTCGAGCTACAGAGCCGTGTCGCGCACAACGTGTTCAAACGTCTAAGCGAAGCCAGCGACTGGTGGGACGTCGACGCGAAGCTGTGCGAGGAGTGCGGCCTTCGCTACATCGAGGGCAAATCCGCGAAGGACTCGGACCCCACGCTGCTCCTTCCTCTTCCAGTGGACGTTGCGTTCAACTTCGAGCAAATTCAAAAGCTTCTCAAGTGCCTACCATCGAAAGAAAAGGTGGTTATCGCGTTACAGGACGGCGACACCAGCGTAGTGTTCTACGACGTCATGCCTGGGATCGTACGTCCGCTCGAGTTCAGCGCTCCTGTAGGACCAGAGAATCAAGGGTAGCCCGACCCGACGACCGCCTCAAAAAAATGAAGAGCATAGAAGAAGTGCTGGGCGTGAGCAACACCAACGCCCGCATGCTCATATGCCACAATTTCGTCTCCCAAGACGTGTTCGTGACCGAAGAGAGAGACATTGCCGCAATGTGCACAGCGCAGGACAAACTGCTCATAGCGACTTCGAGGATGAGCATCGAGGTGCGTGATTTGGTTTCGAAAGGGCAGATGCTCATGACGTTCCCGACGATCGACAAGGTCACCATGATCGATTACTGCAGCAGCGGCAACTTCGTCGTGACCCTGGAAAGGGAGATGCTATCGAGTCCCTCCGACACCTCCCACGCCCGGGTTTACTTCAATTGGTGGAATGAAGTGTGCAACCAAGATCCTATTGTTAGAAAGGCTGGTTGCCAGCCGACTCGCGACGTTGTGGGAAATCGACTGGAAGTGGTCGAGCTGCCCCTGGGTTCCAGTTCTGCATCTTGCATTGCCTGCTGCCGCCAATCTGGGACAATCGCCGTCACTGTGAACGACACAATCAAGCTGTTTTGTTCCAGGAGCAGCCACGACGATTCGAGGAAATGTGACTACTTTGATTTTGAGTTTCTCATGAACGTCAAGGTGACTTTCGTGCCAACGAGGGTCTACGTTTGTGAGGAGTATGTGGCTTGTTGCTCCGAGAAGGAGGTCCATGTCTTTAGGGTATGTCTGGAGACGGAGCAGCCACGCTCGGACAAGGTTGCCGCAGTTCCAGACACGCCAAAGAGAAAGAAACACTCATCAAGCAGTCTCTCGGAGAGTGGTTCAGTTGTAGATGACCCATACTTTGTGGAGTGGAAATTCGATTCCGAAGAAAATTCCGAATGGGGAAACGCGCAGTGGGAAGACGAATTAAAAAGTGTTTTACACCCCTCGTCTTTTCCCGTCACCCTATCTCTGAGATCGGCACAGATCTGCGACGAAAGACAAAAGTTGGACGACATTGTTTTGGGCCCACGAGTTAATCCCCAAGAATGTTGTAAAGTCTCCATAGCTGTGAACCCGAGCACGGATTTGATGTCCGGATTTGATGGAGCATCTGCAACGACGCTGCTCTATCGCAAGTTCAATAGCCATACTGAGAGCGGAAAGCGTGTCGAAGCATTTCACTGGGTCCCTTACTACCTTCAAAACGAGGACAGCAGCTTTTCCGACCCTCTCACCGCAGCACTATCCCTGGAATCCGAACCTCTAAAAAATGTCCTACAGTCCCAGTTGTTCACAAAACTTCATACGCTGGCTTGTTTTGTGTCGTGTACCGACCAAGGATACTTTTATAATCTCAACAATGCTAAGGCTACTACTCTTTTAAGCATCTACAAGTACTCAAACGATATTAAAGGTGTGGCCCTTGATGAATGCTTCCTCCACGCGCTCACTAGTACGGGCCTTGAAACTTACACACTCCCCATCCCATACCAGCCATTGGTTCAGACCAGCAAAGAAAAAGAGGTGCCAACAAAGCCAGCAATCATGATTGGGTTGCGGCCCTTTCTGGGCCTTGGTACTCTCGTCATGTCCGATCACCACCTGATCCTGGCTTCTTCCAACGACGACTGTTCATCTAGCTCGGACTCCATAGAACTGGTATCATCCACTTTATATTCGCTCTTGAAGCCCACCATGAGCCAACTGTTCTATGACCTGAAGGAAGCCGCAAGTGTTTACAAGAACGAAGAAAGGCAGGCCTACATGTCGGCGCTCAAAGAGGGCTTGTTAATCTTGAAGACCCAGATCCTGCTGCAGGGGAGGTCTCGCTGCAACTCTGAGCTCATGGCTGCATATTCTGACTCTTGCTGCCTTCTCGGAGATCTTTGCTTAAAATCCGATTCGGAAGTGGAACGGGAGCAGGCGGCTCAATACTACGACATCTCCGAAGAAATCCCCGAAACCATAATAAAGAGGATTATGTTGTTCAAGGGCCAGATTAAGACCAGCAGCCTGACGAGGGGTGCTATACAATACGTGAAACTGGCAATGTGCGCGAGATCCCTGGAGTCGAGGAAAGCGATGGAAGGCTTGTCCCAAGCCACAGCAGATGCAATCTTGGACGTCTTCGCAGAGGAATGCCCAGATGCCCTGTACAGACTCATCCTCTGTTCTGGCATCACTTCTTTCAGGTCTGAAAAAGCGATAGGCCTCCTAAAGAAGAAGCTGGCCAGTAAGAGGCAATCTCATGGCTATGCTGCAGACAGCTTGGCTATAGTGCATCTACTCTTGCAGATCGGCAACAGCGAAACGGCGCAGAACATCCTCAAGACCCTTTCGAAGGAATTCTTTGTTCCCGTCTTGCTGGAACTGCACGAGCTCATCCATGGCGGTGAGGCCCTCACACAGCTAGGAAGGCTGGTCAAGGTGACGAGGCCGGATGCTTACTTTTCAATGCTGGTTCACCTGAAGAACAACGGCAGCATGACACCCGAGCAGATTGTGCTTATCCTTCGGCACTCGAGTCCGCTGACAGATGTGCACCGGGTCCCGCTTCTCAAAGAGTTTCTGGAAGCCATCCTGTCCAGCAAGAGGACAAATTCCCAGGCTTACCCTCACCTTCTCATCATGCTGGTTAAAGTCTACTTTGGAAGAATGGCTCCCCAAGAGAACAGCCCTCAGCAGCCTGCCCCGTCGGTGCACACCAAGCCAGCATCTCTCTTTGGAAGCCGGCCCGTGTGGCTCCTGGAACTGCCGCCATTCTCCGGCCGTCACGTCACAAAGACCTGCAGCCTCTACACCACCTCCATGAACCTGTCCGAGTGTTGCCTCTGCTGGAATTGCTGGGACGACCTTTTGCGGCTTCAGTCCTTCCTCTGCTCGGAGCTTCCATCCCCTTCCGTGCGTGCCCAGATTCTCGAGATATTCGAAAGCACGCCACTTTCGGAATCTGAAAACTACGTCTCGCTCAGAGTGCTGTGCCTGCCACCTGCAAGGGCGGTTACTCTGCTGCTGGATAGACACCCGACTTCGGTGCTTGGTTATATGGAGGACAAGTTTCCCGGAGAGTGCGACGAGTGGCTGTTCCTCTACAAGGCTGTCACCGAAAAGCTGGAACGGTGCGCCGACGAGAAAACAGCTGCGACGTACAAGACGCTCCTGGCTGGCGTCCTCGCATACCTGAGCGGTGCACTGAACCCAGAAGAGCTCGTCAATCTTTTGCCTCCTGGTAAACAGGAGTACATGGAATATGTGAGGCAGTGCATGGAGTGGTATCAAGCAAAACTTTTGAGGGAAAAGATAATTGCTCTTGGGACTGAGTTGAAAGAGATGATGTGATGAGCGAGAGCTCGTCTAATGTGCTATAGAAAATACTCACTAGGTCAGAAAAGAGCACTCGGTAGATAATGATGTACCAGTAGTGTCTATTTAATTGGTCTTTATTTATTGATCCAAAATTTGTTGTGACATTTCAGCTTTGTGGCTATTACATAGAAGCAACTAGAACCTTAAAAGGCCCAAGATATCAACAAAGCAACTAGAAGTGATGCCTAACGTATTAACAGTAATGGACAAGCACGTAATTCAAATTCTAGATGGGTAGTTTTTATTCACAAAGCAAGTAGATTACATCAATTGTTTTTCTCTTTTTAAGTAGTAGGCATTTTTTAAACATTTAGATTCCTATGAAGCGAGCCAAAAATATTAGTTCTTGCATCTAGTAAGCTGACATTTTTGTCAAAAGGTGTATTGTAGTGGTCTGTTCTAGCAGGGGAAATGTAAAAGTGTAACTCTATCGTACCCGCTTAAAGGAGCTGTGCAACAATTTCACTGCTTTGCTAAAATAATTTGGGAGATGGTGTCTCGACCTTTCTGAAGTAAAGAACAAAAAAAAAAAAAGCTTTTGCCTGCATGGCCTAGTTTTTATTTTAAAAATTTACACAGATTGAGGTTTTCAGCACCTCTCAACTCCTTCCCCATCTTTCTAGTCATGTGCGCTGTGACGTGAAAGGAGGATGCATAAGGTTCTGGTGAAGCTCTCTCTCTATAGCCATCAGTGAGCAGCAAGAACTCAGCCGCTCACGACCACATAACTACGTGCTTGCACAGTATGATCAACATGGTGAAAGGAGGAAAGTCTCATCTGGGTCCGGCCATCCCCATCCCCCTCCGGCTTCTGTTCGCAGTAGCAGATAGAGCCGACGGTTTTGTTGACTTCCAATAGATGGCGCCAGTAAACTTCCGTATAATAAAAGTTTTGTCGACGATACCAGGTTTTTGACGCATTTATATTTATGTTGGAACAAGAAGATTCATAGAAAAATGCCCTTTTACCGAGCAGTTATTTGCACAACTTGCTTTCCTTTTACAAGTCCCCCTTTGACGTCACGCCGCGTGGTTCTGGCGGCTGCAGGTCGGGAAATATTTTAATTTTTGCCTCGCGATTATGCGGCAAAATCACAACATTTTGAAAGAAGGAGATCTGTTTCCTGTCCTTCGTGACAAGATAAACAATGTCAAAAGTAGAAGATGCAAATTCTTTCAACGTTAAAATCGTTGCACAGCTCCTTTAAACTGAGAATGAAGTCTCTGGAAATTCAAACAACTGGTTTGGGCACTAATAGCGAGAACTGGGTGGGGCTCTTGACAGCTGGTGCATGCAAAATGTCATTTAATTTTCTCCAGCTTCATTGAAGAGCACGCACTCAAAAAATTCTGCAGTGGCCATAGACAATAATATTGATAATTGATGTATAATCTTGCAGCTGGCCAAAATAAATATGTATAGCCAAGCTAACATTAGATTTAACAAAAACAGGAGATAAATGTAGCTTTAGAAGGAGGGTACACTTCTCACAAGTGTTGTATACATAATTTGTGTTGTCTACTTTCATTCATGGGTCACTTTGATCGGCCTCTTGGTCAATATAGGTTTTAGCATGTTTCATTGGAATTTTCTGCTAGTAATTTGGTGTGGAGACATTCTTTACTTATGCACCGATCAGATGAAGCAGGGATGCATGAATTGTCGCCTGTGAATGGCAAAAACAAACATGGCTCTCAGTTATGTGTTGACACTTAAAATGTTAAAAATGTTGTGGTCGAAGTGCTTGAGCTTCATCATATATTCACATTTGTACCATTGTTTTAGTAGCAGTCTGCATGTAGCACTCGCTTCAAATAAAATTATCTCTAGTCAACAAAAGCATGACCTGTAGCAAATATCAATAACCAAATCATCTTTCCACTGTGTTGACAGCAGTCCATTCCAAAACTTAAAAAACACTAGCATAATAAAGAAATTAAATGACTGTGAAGTAATGAAAAGGCGCAATGTAAAAGCACATTAAATCACTGCACACCGAGGGAACAAATGCTGCTTGTGTACACACCCAGAACGGCCCCCCCCCCCCCCTTCAAGTACATAATTAAAAAAAATCAAAATGTTGACAAGGGTGTAACTTTCAACATGCCCAACAAAAAGTCTAAGCCAGAATGCCGAGTCTTTTGCGTTTGACAGCAACAATCGAGACAGAGCGTCCAGTACTCGCCGTTCGGTGCACGGTGCACGTTGCATCTGGACCCATCTTCAGCTCGACGACGGAGTCTAGAACCAATCGCACGTCCTGCTGTGCCGCACTAGTTCTCCCCACAGAGTCCACTTCCCACACCGTGGGCAATCTCCGTTCACCGGAATCAGGGACTTGGAGTCGCCTTGTAAGAAGAGCTTGGCAAGACAGGAAAGGTGAGAAGTTGCGGTGCAGCCAGGATGAATGCACCGTGCGGTACTCTTCCTCGACTGAATGGCCGTGTTGCACACGCAGCAGAGCGGCATCACTTGGATGTCATCTTGTTCGATGGAACGTTGGGCATGACTGCAGACGGCTTTAACGGGTCCATAGGCTATGGCCATGTGGGGTGGTGGGGCAAGGCTCGTCTGAAACACAGTGGGAGCGTTCCAAGAGCACTGAGAAAAGACTGCATGAGGAATCGTGCGTTTAGACCAGTCATCCGGATAAAGTGTAAAACGAAACAAAAGTGTGACAAGCTGGAGTCATGAACTCCCACGAATTTTAAAGCATCAGGTTTGCGAGAGGGTTTGGATGAAGGCGTCAAGTTTATGCTTCCCCAGAAGACTTGTGTTGAGATCAGGCCACTCGGCAAAAGCTATGAAGGTTCATCAATTTGGTTTTAGGTTTTCAGACCAATCCCCAAGACACTCGTGTTTCAAATCGACTCAACTCGAAATATTCAAAATGGTAGCTGATTCCCGTGACAGTTCCGGTAGAGACATGTTGCTGCTCTTGACATAATAAAAGCTGCCCGAAGTGCCTCCACGTAAACGTAAACACTCGACTTAACGACTACGAGCTTTAATTAAAACTATGTCGCTCTAAATGATCCTCACAATTGAAGTGATTCACTATGCGGTTACAATAAGAAATAACTTCAATCCCCCCAAATTAAAAAAAAAAAAAAAAAAAGATTTGAAAAAAATTGTTTAATTTTTAACAAGATGCAAACTCTAAAAAACCTCCCCCGAATTTCACAGCAAAAATATACCGCCAAGATTCAGAAGCGCACCCGTAAGCCATCTGATGTCGGTGTGCAGTTGGAACGGCTCCGATCCAAAAACGAGGAAGTGTTCATGAGCCCCACCTAACCACAGTTACTGACAGAATGAGAACGGTAGGGATGTCTTTCACATTATCCCTCCTCCAGAGCAAGCTTCCTACCTTCGATAACACTTTAGCATCTCGTGGGTCTCTAGTGTGCATGCAGAGTCTAAGCACTACAAAAGGCAACGAGTATGTGGTTGAGCTTCCAAAAGAGATGGCCTGGCATTCTCATTCTGTCGGCAAACTATTGCAACAATCGCAGAAAGCCCTTGATGTCAAGAAAGGCAACTCCCTATTTTGTTAGTATATCTATGGCGAAACAGTGCTGGGATGATGTGAGGAATGCTAGAAAAGCTGTCTGAATGCCAAAGAACAGTTAAAGGCCTTCTCCACAATTCCAAACTAAATTCCCCAACCAAAAAAAGAAAAAAAGCGATGTTTGTATACAGCATAAGGTCGGTCGGTCGGTCTGCCTTTGAGGAGCGGTGACACTGGTTTATGCTGTGGACGAGAAATTTATCCAGTGCTGTACTACTGCTAGCCTAGGGTCTGTAACATGCACCACGCAGTAGTGATACACGACTGCACACCGGTACGATGCTCATCCAGACCGAAATGGGCAGGGGTAGAGATCGAACCCAGCGTTCCCGTGCACTGTGACCGGCCGCGACAAATCACAAAGCAAACTGCCATGCCCTTTGAAGGCTGTCTTTGGAAAAATTGCATCGTTTTGCAGCGTTGCTTACCTGAAAGTCGAGCCGGTATTCCTCCATGAGCCACTGCACGGTCAGGGGCAGTCTGGTCCATGGTCCAACACGAAGCATGTGGGAGACCACCCTGAAGGCAAACTCAAACCTGCTCTCCTTTCTATTTTTCTTTTCGACGTGACCGAGCCTTCGAGACTTGTCCGGGTGCTGCCAAGCCCACTCAAACTGCGGCGGCAGAGCGGAAATCTTCACTGGCGCCACGGCCACTATCGTTTCGTCACTACGCAAGTACTATCGCAGACAGTATGAGCTGTAACAGTTTTTTGCGCTTCTTTAGCGTACCTGCCCACCCTTCTCAATGAAGAAGCGTTGGTCCACACTACATCTAAAATGCAAAGTTTAGGTCCCACTCTTTGAACTCTGAAAAATTAAAAGATAATGAAGCTAGCGGATAACTGCGAACACAGGAAAAGGTTGAGTCAGATGTTGCAGCTCATATTGTCCGCTAGGGTACACATAGCTTGAAAGTGTCACCACTGCTGGGTACTGGCGGTTATTTCTACATATTGGTTTTCTCAAGTTGCTATTTCTGCGGTTTGAGACTAACACGGTGACTCTCATGGCACGTTAAATAATGGCATGGCCGCGAATGACGTAACGGACAAGCTATGTACACGAAAGGAGAGTATACTTTTGGAAGACGTTAAGAGCACATTAGAGAAGTGGAAGGTGACAATCATGCTCAACATTAGGCTCATGCTGCGCATGCGTTGGGCTTATGCATCCAGTGTGTTGCTTTATAATCGCTGGCAGCTTAAAAGTTCAGGGGAAGCTGCTCCCAACTCTTTCCACTGTAACAAAGAGAACGCTGGACAGGAGGGAACCAGCGTTCATTCTGATGAAATGGGAAGGGGTAGGAGGAGCTTCCCCTGATTTGATTAGCCTGTCACCGACGATAGTAGCTTCTTGAAGCAGTGAGTGACAATGTTGCGGACGTATGCAAATGCCTTCTTACCCGCAATGCAGATATCTCGTTCGGGAAGCCATGTATAATTAGAGGCATATCCCTGAAGAAAAAGAACGTAAACAATTGACCTCCGTAATTCATTTTCTGTTTACTCGGACTGGTAACCCTCACAAGCCATCAAAACAGCGACAGGTTTTCTACAAAAATCGGATGTTATTTTAGACGGCCTAGTGAAGTTACAGTGAAACTGAACATAAATTTAATCGTCGTTCGTTACCATTGGCCTTTGGTGCTGGTCCTCCACGCGCCACCTGCCTTGAGTCCCTTGTTGTGTTGTTTGACCCTCCTGTTGGGATCCACGGTAAATCCAATGTATGTGTGCCCTTTGTACTTCGGATTCGTGCAGTAGAGAAGGTAACATCCGTAGAACTGTTGAACCTCCATGAGATATCGCAGGAGCACATAACAATGAAGAACCGCCTCATTCTTGGTTCAGCTGTCGTTGATTACTAACGGTCATAGCTAAACGTGTCCGATATCATGATAATGGTTGAATTTGTCGAAAAACAACACATCCTCTTCGAATTTTATGTTCCCCGCCATTTGCGACATACACGTAGTAAAATCAGTGCGCATGCGCTGGCTCGCGCTACGAAGAGTACGTGGATGTTAAGCTAAGAAAGTTTCCATGAATTAAGGTGGCATGCTGCGCCACGTAGTGGCTGTGACGTAAAACTACACCACCGTGTTTTTTTTTTTGTTTTTTTTTTTTTTTTTATTTAGCCACGCGGGAATTTGAACATTGTAGAGTCCATCTGCCTAAAAACACTGCCAAATAAACAAACAAAAAAAAAAAAACAATCGGTGACCGGACGCAAGATTTGTGTAAATATCCGGTGGTCTCTCGCTCGTGCAAAGTTCAAACGAACTACAGGGAGACACCAGGCTCTTTAAATCGACGGGAAAATTCGGTTTCTTAAAGGAGCTGTGCAACGATATTCAGTTGGAATGTTTTTCACTATACACGAGCTTACTGGCACTAGTGGGACTCAAAGATACTCGCACGCAACGCCACTGGCCAAGAAACTCCTTTGTTGCGGTGAAATTTCAAGGACAAAAGTAATTATTTTCGTTCAATCCCTCCTTTGCAAAATTTGATGACGTAACGTGGGTATCGCAGTACACCCATACGACGATATTTGAATGCTGTTCATAGATTGGACCCGAGCATTGCGTGGGCACTCGATTTGGGCTCGTGATAATTACCAGCTCGAGAAGCATTCGGGTGGTGGCCCGTGTCCAATCGCTGCAACGACGACAATAGTCGAGCCATAACAATATCTGGAAATCAGCGCGTGCCCTGTGCTTTGCCAACCCCAGCGCGTGGCTATGATCTACATTGGCGCCATATAATCGGCTCCAGATCACGTGGCCGCTTGTTCTGACTGCGAGTTGAGGGGGTGAACGCTGCTCGTTTTTCTTTAATTTTTTTCTGGAAGTCCTATTGTGTGGGGTGAAAATCGAACGCGTGTTTCATTGGTCATTAATGTCAGGTATCCGTTCTAAGCGGTATTTGCGCAAAGTACAAATATTGTTGCATCAGGGGTGCGGAAACAAAAATTGAAATATTCAAATTTCGTTCGGAAATGAGTCAAGCATGACGGATAATAACCGTAAATGATAATCGCACGTTTGGATTTTGAACGACTGGCTATATTTTTTGTTCCAAACGGTGCCCTCGAGCAAGCGCTCGAGGAGAAGCGAACGGAGAGCGCGATGCGTCATGGGATTGAGGAGTTTCAGCGAATATAGGGGGCGCTCCGATCGATCCAACATGGCGGACAAGAGGGGGTAGATTTGCGACGCCCGTAGACCGGTAGCGTATAAATAAAGCAAAGCGTGTCGTTCTCTGTTTGTTGCCGTGTACGAGACGATCATTGTTTCAACCAAGACTTTCCGTGATGCTACAGATGAAGTGTTCAAGCCAGTCGAAGGCAAGAAATCTTGCCATGGTCAAGATATGTGTGCAAGTGTTCGACGTGAGCTCTCACGCTGGTGCAACTGTCATCAAGTTGAACCGAATGTACAATCGCGGACAATATGAGCTGAAACAGCGCTCCGGCCTGTGCACGGTACTACCTGCACCGCCTGTCGCACCGCTCCGCAAACACGGCGCACCCCGAGGCCTAAATAAATTCTCACTTGCGCTCACTGCGCCGCTGCGCTCTTCCGACCGTCTGCTAGCGAAAATATTCGCCAACGGAGCCACCATCACGATGCGTGTGCCGTGCAGCCCAGCCACGTTTCCAGCTAACATGCATTTCAGTGCATTTCAAGAAAGCGCCGAAGTGGAAATTGCGTTATCACGCTCGTCTCTCCTCGAGGAGCGCTGCCCGACGGAGCTGCCTTGGCCCCCAAAAGGTGCGGATCTGAATATCATCGAACACGTTTGGAGGCGCATCAAGGTAGCCACGTCACTCCGTCCCCTCTACCGCGCCACTGCCCACGAATTGTGGGAAGCGGTGAGACGTGAATGGGCTTCGGGCCGAGCCAGACTTCGTGGGCGCGCTCTAAAATTCCTTACCAGAGAGGATGAGAGCCGTGGTCGCGGATTAGGGGAGAATGAGGCGGTATTAACTTCTTTCAAATGCTTTACTGCGCCTCGGGACCCTTTGAACCGGACTTCTGCCGTTTGGAACAAAGCTTGCTGCTACGGTTGCGACGCACTGTTTGATGCCGTTAACCAGCGCGTACTTTTCTGTAGTGCACCCATGATCCTAATCTTCTTGTACAGTGCAGTTGAACTTCCACGCCGACTAATAATCTTTGGTGTCTGACATTGTCCTTTGCGAATATTTTTTCGTTGAAGCTTCAAGCTCCTTCTCTTGGCAAATATATGATGGTCACTCGTTCTTCGTCCCTGTTTTTCTGAGGCTGTTTTTCATCATGATGGTCACACTTTATTAAGACTGGGATTTTGCAAATAAAACATAGCTGCCTTGTCAGCAACTTGTTTTGCTTGAAACAAACACGTGGGCCCAGTAATAAACAAATACTATTTTTGAACATTCTTACAAAAACCAAGGTTACGAAACCTTTGCAGTAACATGTATGGTTACCGTTTTTTTTAAACAACTGTGTTCAATGAAAGAAAAAAAAAAGTAAATACTTTGGAGCCGGCCTAAATCCGGTATATAGATTTTGGCCTATATATTACGATGTCCTACTTTGTGCATGCACTTAAATAAAAAATAAAAAAACCTGCAATGTCTTTTGATGTGACTTTCAAAACGATAATCGCAGCTGCCATTTAAGATACCTCAACATTTTTTTCATTACCAGTAAGCGTTCTTTTACGCAATTCTACTCGATAAAATGAAGTAAAACAATTGCAAAAAAGGGACGACAACTGTAATCTCCCCCCCGCCCCCCTTTCCCCCCACCACATACGCCCGCTATCGCACCCGCCGTTTCGCTAGCAGACGGCAGGAAGAGCGCAGTGGCGCAGCGAGCGCAAGCGTTAATTTATCTCGGCTTCAGGGTGCGTCGTCTGTGCGGAGCAAGGCGACAGGCGGCGCAGGTAGAACAGTGCGCCGGCCAGAGCGCTGTTTCAGCTCATTTTGTCCGCGATAGTACGCGGGTCCAAAGAAAGGTACATATCAACAATTTTCGCGCGTTGAAACTATGACGCGTACTTTATCTAAAACTAAACTTATCGGTCTGCGGCTACAAACATTTTCGTTGACGTTGCTTAGATGATGTAACCATTCAAGCCTCGCATTAAAAGATGTTGCGAACTCTTCGGTTGTTCTAGTTAATTGTGCTAAAAAGCGGTTGAATGGAAAGTATGACAACTACAGCGTACAAGGGACGATTGAGGTCTTTATCCTGCGTTCTATATGTATCGAGACATCGGTATTCTTGGTGTTATATTGCGATCAGCTGGTCGCCGATCGTCCTGTTTGAAATATCGGTATCCGTGGTGTTATATTGCGATCAGCTGGTCGCCGATCGTCCCGTTTTTACGCATAATGTAAACAAGCCCCGGAAGCGCAATCTCATTTCAAAGCGCGTGTGCACCCCTTACAAGCCTCGTAAATTTTGGTTCTTGTGCAAAGCTTTATTGTAATAGCAATAGTCTCATCGGTCATTCGAGTTGTATGTGCCACGGTGATATCTGCTGTGTGTGATCTGCTGACAAACAAGTCTGTATTAAATGCGAGAAGGAGAACGAAGGTAAAGCTTTTTTAACTGTTTTCGTTTTACAGAACAGGGCAAAGCTTCTAAAACAAGAGCAACCTGCTCAAGAATGAATGGTAAAAGTTGCTTATGCTAAGTGGTAGATGTACGTAGTTGATTTGTTTGCCTCTGCATTGTAAATTGGAAAATATGTATCAGCACAATACACGTGTCCTTTTGAAAATGTCTTTTATTAGGGCAAAAATAGGTTTTCATACACAACCGAAGAGTTCGCAACACGATTTAATGCGAGGCCTGAACGTTTACATCATCTAAGCAACGTCAACGAAAATGTTTGTAGCCGCAGACCGATAAATTTAGGTTTAGGCGTCATAGTTTCAGCCTCAAACACGCAACATTGTTGATATGTGCCTTTCTTGATGACAACTGCACCAGCGTGAGAGAGCCCACGGCGTCGAACACTTGCACACATATGTTGACTATGGTATGGCAAGATTTCTTGCTTGAAGTGAAGATCATCTCGCTACGACTAGCTACGACCACCCACCGCAGCGATGCAGGCGTCGAAGGGGCGCAACGCAGTCAGTCGCCGTCACCCAACGCTGCTCGTTTGGCATTCACGGCTTTCCGCCAGGTGATTCGTTTGTACTTGGCACCGAGTGTTATTTTCTGTGCTTGTGTGTGCCCAGTGGCTAAATATAAGCCTCAAGAGCAGTTCTTCATGCTCAGTAGCGTTCGCCGAAGAGCCTCTGGAAAAAATGCCACCCAGGAAAAAAAGCACGAAGACGCAACACACCAGCTTGGCGGACTATGCACTGCGCGCGGAAATCGGGCCCTGCGGGTTATACACCAAATGCAAACTATCTAAAGAAAACAAAAACATTTTAGGCTCAAATTGGCTTCTGCGGACTATACGCCTGGACACTGGTGCCTGTTATTATGCATTGTATATTCACTGTTGTTTGTTGTGGCTTGAGACTGCCTTCCTGTAATGATGCAGAGGGGTCCACTGAACCTTCAAATAAAGATATTTAAGCACATCTAGATGTAATGTCCCTTGAAGCCAGATGGTCAGGGAAAAGATGTGCCATTACCTAATTTGCCAGCAGCACACCAATGGTCACAATCAAAACTCACCAAGTCAATGGGCAGTTCTCCCCCACAATATTTATTGCCGTGTAATCACCATTTGGTCCATTAAAAATCTTGAGGCTGTAGCCTATAGCGCATCCATTCTGGATCTGCAAAGCTTATGCTGTAGACATGCATCATCACACGAGCATGTTTCTTATCAATCTTAAACGTAAAACGCTAGTTATATGCAACGAAATTCCCATATCATCACATTTTTAGCAAATTGAATGGTCCCACCTGTCACACTGTTAGCTTTGGAAGTTGTGGGATTTGCTAGCTACCAACTA